CTGAGGAGTGTGGTGAAACCTCTTACCATCCAGCTGTTTCGCCTGGGATGGGGATCACTCCTTTGTCTCCATGCTGTGTACACTACCCACCCGTTAGTCACTGAGTAGCCGTCTGGGCGATCAGATTGCTTATCTCAGTATTGGAGCACTTGTGGAAAGGAACCCTTGTTTTACTTAACAAAGGCACCAAGTGCAAGAATAGTGATGCTGGCAGTTCAGATCTGCCAAAGAGAAGCCATCAAGCTTATGTATATATATGAAAAAACATGGTGTATGTAGTGTTCAGTACTACCTGCAGTTTTAGGCATCCACGGTGGGTCTTGGAACATATCCCCCTGAGGATAAGGGGGGACTACTATACTCATCCTCACCAATACTTGTTATTGTCACCTTTTTGATTGTCACTATCCTAGATGTGAAGTGGTATCTCATTGTGGTTTTGATTTACATTTCCCTAATGACTAATAATGTGGAGCATCTTTTCATATGCTTTTGGCCATTTGAATACCTTCTTTGGAAAAATGTTTTATTTGAATCAACCTTTTGCCTATTTTTAGTTAGGTTATTTGTGTCTTTCTATCGTTGAGTTGTAAAGAGTTCTTTATCTCCTGGATCTATATATCACTTTGAACAGTGAAGAAAACTTTTCCCAGAAGCCCCCAAAAGCTAGTTCCCACAAGCTGTCCCCACTTCTCTTTGGCCAGAATTGTATCATATGTCCATGGCTAAAGCAGTCACAGGCCAGTGGAATGGAACCATTATCACTGGTTTTAATTCACCTCATGGGGTTGGAAATGGGTCCAACTTCCACCAAACATATGGCTGAGCTGAGCAGGGGAGGTATTTTACAATAGAGGAGCCCTGTTAGGAAGAGGAGAATGGCTGTGAGGAGGCAACTCTACCAGTCAGGGTCCCAGGAGGAAATAGATGGCTGAAGCAAAACAGGATAATATGAGGAAGTTGTATTTACAGAGGGACCTGGAGCGTAAGCAGCAAACTTACCGCTCTAGGCTTGAAGGAACAGGAGTGGAGAGTGAATCTGTTGGGGCAGATAGAAGATTCAAGCACAGCAACCAGTAACGTCAATCTTAAACCCCCCTTCACTGTTGTCTTTTCTTGTGTTCTGGGCGATGGTTTTCTCTGCCTTTACCTGTCACTGCTGACATGTATGCTTTTTGTCTTCTAAAACTTATCTGATCTACTGAGCTTACCCTTTTTCATGCACATCCTCAGTGCTATTATGCATTTATTTCTTGGGTACTTTACTACCAGTTCAAGGGGTTGGGAAGGATGGGAGATAAAGTACTAAACCTTTATCTTGGACAGGAAACTCTTGCCTTTCTCTAAATTATAATTGAACTCATTGTATATGCAATTTTGTAGTCTACTTTTTTTTAAACTTCAGATGATATAAAAAGCATTTCCCGGAGTTAACATTATTCTTCTAAAAAACTTTCATTGATTGATTTTGTGAGAGAGAGAGATAGATTTGTTGTTCCACTTATTTATGCATTCATTGGTTGATTCCTGTATGTGCCCTGACCGAGGATCAAACCCACAACCTTAGCATATCGAGACAATGCTCTAACCAACTCAGCCAGGGCTAACATTATTTTAAACATAATTCTGATCACTAAAATCATTCATCACATGAGTATACCATACAACTCTTATTTTAACAACTCTTGCAGCATTAACTCCTCCCAACAAATCTCTCCACAACTGTTTTGGGGGAATTTTTGTTTTATAAGTGTTTCACTAGTAAAAATGAGGCTCCAGGCCCAACCGGGTGTGGCTCAATGATTGAGCATCATTCTATGAACCAGGAGGTCATGATTTGACTCCCAGTCAGGGCACATGCCCAGGTTGTGGGCTCGGTCCCCAGTAGGAGGCATGCAGGAGGCAGCCAATCAATGATTCTCTCAGCATTGATGTTCCTCTCTCTCTCACTCTTTCTTCCTCTCTGAATTTAATAAAAAAATATTTTCAAAAAATGAGGCTCCAGTTAACATTCTTGTGCATAAATATTTGCCTACAATTCAGAATATTTCTTCAGAATAGATTCTTCGAAGTAAAATTACTATATCAAAGTATATGATCAGTTTAAGTCTTTTGAAACATAATGGAAACTTTTCATAATCTAGGAAGATTTTTGTGAACTTATAGTCTTAAAAGTGCATTAAAGTTCATCTTTGTACCCTTGCCAGCATTACATCATATATTTTTAACTTTACATGCAAAATGGCATCATATTGTTTTACCTTGCATTTCTATATGTACTAATACAATTGATTTTTTTGAAATTTGTTAAGAATGCCTGGCCAGAGTGGCTCAGTGGTTGAGCATCGACCTATGAACCAGGAGGTCACAGTTCAATTCCTGGTCAGAGCATATGCAGGTTCGATTCCCAGTATGGGGTGTGTAGGAGGCAGCCGATCAATTATTCTCTCATCACAGATGTTTTTATTTCTCTCCCTCTTCCTTCCTTTCTGAAATCAATAAAAATATGTTTTAAAATTTTTTTGTTAAGATTATGTTTCATTTGTGAATTGTCTATTCACATCACTTGCTCATTTTTTAAAATGGGGGCGTTAGTGTATTTAACTTCCTATCTTTTTAATAGATAATTTACAGAGGGTTACAAAATTTAAAAGGTACAAAAAAGTACATGATACTCCAGTTACTCATTCCTGTTTGAGTTGGAAACCATCAATACCATTTCCAGAGATAATTCATACTTGTACAGTAACTACCTACATATATTTTTTCACACAAATGTCAATGTCACATATATACTCTTCTGTGTCTTAAAAGTTTTTCCATTTGGCACATAAAGATCAGCTTCTTTTTATTGGCAATTTGAGATGTTGTTATTTGAGTGTACCATAATTCATGTGCCCTAATGATAGAAATCTAGGTGGTTTCTAATCTTCTACTATCATAAGCAATGCTGTAATAAATAACTTCATAGATATGAGTGTGTCTGTAGGATGAACTCCTGGAAATGAAATTACTGGGCTAAGGGTATGTGAACTCAAAATTTTTATAGATAGTATAAAGTTCCCTGCATTGAGGTTTTTCCTCTAACCAACTTTTTATTATCAAACTTTTTTATATTTGCTAATCAGATAAGTGAAAAGAGGTATGTCATAATTTGAAATTGCATTCTTTTTTTTTATTAATGAGATTAAACAACTTTTCTTATGGTTAAAAGCCTTTTGAATTCTTTTTCTTTAAATTAACCATTTATATTCTACTAGAGGCCCAATGCACGGATTCGTGCACCAGTGGGGTCCCTGGGCCTGGCCTGTGCCCTCTCTCAATCCGGGACCCCTTGGGGGATGTCAGAGAGCCAGTTTCAGCCCGATCCCCGCAGGCCCGATCCAGACAGGAGGGAGCCCGGTCCCCACAGGCCTGATCCTGTGCATTGAGCATCTGCCCCCTGGTGGTTAGTGTGCGTCATAGCGACTGGTCGACTGGTTGTTCGTTCACTTGGGCTTTTATATATATAGATATTTTGCATTGGTTGTTGGTTTGTTGGTTTTTAAAAATTGCTTTGTAAGAGTTCTTTCTAGTGTAAATTGGTCCTTTTTTTATATGGATTGCTTCATGTATTTTTAATAAATGTGTATGAGTTTAAATAGGTAAGCCCATGACAAGGACGCCTCCTTTTCCTTGGCCGGGGGGCGGTGTGCTGGTTGGTCTTCTCTTTACCTCAAGGGTGGGTGCTTTAGCTCCTACTTGCTCTATTTTACCTCCTAACTTACCTCAGAGCAAACATACATTAGCACTGCACGAGCAATTAGTTTTTCCCTAAAAAACAATGCACAGTCTCATGTGAGGAAAGCATAATACTGTGCAGCATGTCATACACTCCAGAAACAAGTAATAGCACTGTTTCTATGGTTAAAAGTGATTCGTTTCCCTCCTTGGCTGGTTTTCATTACAAAGGGCCCAGTCTCTTTGCCTGAGTCATTCTGGATGAATGAGACATGGGAATGAGTTGGGATAGATGGATGAAAGTAAGAAGAGTAGGCAAGACAGTACTAAAGACCTTTATTTTGAGAGTTAAGATGCTGGTGGACCTCCTCAGCAGAGGTAGTAATTTTCCATCCTGATGAGGGTGGGGGATCCTTTAGAACAGTACAAGTATATCATGGCTCATTAGCTCACAGGACAAATATTGATTGGCTTGTAGTCATTTTAGGATGACAGAGTTGCAATTGTTTGCAATGTTAACTTCAAAGGTTATATGAGGAAGCGGGTGGGACTAAGACCAAAGAAAGGTAATTGTGCCATTCCAATTGGAGTGGGGGATCCTCCTTTTAAATCTGTTGCCTTAGGTATCTATTGCTGTGTAACTGATTACATCAAACTTAGCAGCTTAAAAGTAAACAGTTTTTATCTCACAGTTTCTCTGCATCAGGGATCTGGTAGCAGCTTAGCTGGGTTCTGCTTCAGGGTCTCTCGGGAACTGATAGTTACTATGCTGGGACTAAGGTTATCTGAAGTTTTGCTTGTGGCTAGAGGATCTGATTCTAAGATAACTCACTCACATGTTGGCAGGTCTCAGTTCCTTACCGAGCGAACCTCCCCATAGAGCTAGAACGTCCTCATGATGGGGCAGTGAGTGATCTAAGAGATAGAACAAGGAGGAAGCCAGCTAGTCTCGAAGTCACACTGTCACTCCCACCGTATTCTACTCATTAGAAACAAACCACTAAGTTAGCTCACACTCAGGGAAAGAGGAGCTGTATGGAAGAGAGGCATATCAAAGAATTTGTGGACTTACTTTAAAACCATCACACTCAACATTCCTCAAAAACACTTAGCACACTTCGAACTCTATTCCATTGCTTGCACACATGTATCCATTCACTCCAGAAATATTTATTGGCATGTTATCTGAATCCCTGCGTACCATTTTAACCATCAGTTCCTGGAACCATTCTATTTTAAAGAATGATATCCTCCTAACAGTGGTCTTTTTTCCTTCCCAGGTGCTTGTTGGGCTTCTTCTTATTCTAGCAGCCATAGAGCTGGCCTTTGTACTCATAGAAGACTCTGGACAAGGCACGGTCCCTCCCGTTAGATATACCAATCCAAGCCTCTACCTGGGCACATGGGTAAGGCCCGTCACCACGTCTGCCCTGTTTATCTTATCTCTATTCAAAGTCATGTAGCTGGAATTTACTCTTTTGAAATGAAATAAAGTCCAATGTCATCTACCTTTTTCAAGGGACCTGTGATGAGGCAAAGCTTGATTATAATGGGGCAAAACAAATGTTAGCTTTTCATCTTCTTTTGAACACTGGTTTATAGAGTCTTCTCCTTAGGGCAAGTACTACCTTTAATGGCTAAGATATGTATCTTGTGTACTCATATTTCGCCATCTAAGGATCACATGTGAAACTCAGGTTTATTGATATGAAATAGTTTTCTTAAATGCCATAAATATTACTTTTAAATTGATTGACTATAGACTATAATCAATGGATCACTGTGTATAGCATTGTTTGTATAAACTTGATGACAGAAATTGATGTTTCTTCTACAAGCATGATTTTTGGGGGCTGCCTATCCAGTGTTTTAAAAGCAATTGAATTGATGCCATCATTTTAATTATGCCTCATAATTATTTGGACTTCCAGTCTTTCTTGAAAAATCAGGGCCTCCATTCCCACAGGGCAATGGTCAACTAGGATTGAGTAGCAGTTGCCCCCATGAAGCCAGTCATGAGCTCAGTACAGTCTCCCACACCTCACTCAGTAACATGGTCTGCCTTACCCCTGCAGGCATCTTGTTTGTTACCCCTGCTTAGAACAAACAAAGAAGGGTCTAAGAGGCGGTGTGCTGCAGCCCGCTCACAGAGCTGATTGTGTGCATCTCTTCCCAATCCTGCATCTGGGGACATTGTGCTGGAACTTGAAACCCACCACAGTGGGAGTATTTACACCATGGAAATTGGCAACTGCTTAAATCATGGCTTCTCCCCCTGCCCCCAGAATATTGGTTTACTGAGTTTAGGAAACCAACATTTAATCAATTACATCTACTAATAAGTGAGATGTTACAAGGGAAGTGTTTTTATTGACTGCTTAATCTGTGATACTATTAGGAAATCGTGATGCAGACACCTTGCACCTATCCAGCAGAATATGCCTCCATCACAGGCTGCTGCAGTGCCTGACGTTAATTTCCTTGGGTCTTGAAAAGATTTTTTCTGGCTCCCAAAGTAACTACATTAAAATGCAGATGGTTACCTTCTGCCTTCTTTGCTAACTTCCCACCCCAGTGTGGGGAATAGAGATGGGGTGCGAACGGGCGTCCCAGGGAGAGCATGGAGGCCCTGAAAAGAGAAAGCTGGGTGGTGTCAGGGAGGAAATCTACAATTTGGCATCTGTGTGCTTTCTGCCCGACCAGATTAAGTACAACAGTCTCCTCCCGTGGTCCTCCTTTCTTCCTTTGTTTTCTGACATCCCCTTTGCCTCTTTTCCTTGGCTAGTGACGATGTATTTCAGAACCTGATGTGACTGTCTCTCTAGCTCCTGGTTTTGCTGATCCAACACAGCAGGCGCTGGTGTGTGCAGAAGGACTCTTGGTTCCTGTCCCTCTTCTGGGTTCTCTCAATACTCTGTGGCACTTTCCAGTTACAGACTCTGATCCGGATGCTTTTAAAGGTAAGGAGGGAAGAGAGTGTGACACGAGAGGAAACTGCGAGGCCACTTCTCAGTCTGAGCCACGGGCATGCAGTAAGTTGAGCTCCAGGAGAGAATCATATTTAGGGGATTTGATATAGGCTTTAATCACAGATATTCACCTATGGGGGCTGTGTAGACTTCATTTGGATGAAATGTTCATTTTCTCTTTGTTTTGTTTTTCCTTTTCCCATAGGGCAACAACTCCAGTCTAGCCTACTCCTGCCTGTTCTTCATCTTCTATGCATTCCAGATCCTGATCCTGGTCCTTTCAGCATTTTCAGAAAAAGGCTCGTCAGATGTGAGACTTGAAATAGACCCACTGCATAGATTATTTTTTTGGATGGCCCCTTGATCAATATATAAGGCATCAGGGGCTAGGTGTCTAGGTCTTACACAGGTCCCCCGAGATGGCTATGTCTCTTGGAAGTCCCCCGAGCCCAGAATACAGTATAAGACCATTTTGTGACATAAGGCAATGGAAGGTGACTAGAATATGGAAATATTGACTTGGATTTTGACCTACCAGTCTTTAGCATAGACAGTTAATCCATACCTCTATGCCAGAAGGTCTGATTGTTGTTCAATTGGTGACCTTAGGGTCTCCAAATAAATGTATGTTGACCAGCCTATTTTGGTACCATATCTAGTTTCTAGATCATAGATCAGTTTCTGATTTTAGAGTCCCATGGAGTTCCTGTTTCCAATTGATTTATTTTCTGATTTTTTGTGTGTTTTGCAGAATCCATCACTCACGGCTTCATTTCTGAGTAAAATTACCTTTAGTTGGTATGACAGGTAGGAAATGCCTGGAGAATGGGTTGTCTCTATCCCCACCTCCTCAATCGTTGGAAAGTGATGGAAATCTTAATTTTTCAAAATGCCTCCTGTGGCCTCCATATCTCCTCTTCTTAGAGTCTGAGGATGTTCTGACAGATTAATTTAGTTAATTCCCTTCATTGGGCAGATTGGAAAGCTGAGGAAAAGATGGAATATATTTGCTCTTGGTAGCCGGGGGGTTCCTTGGAGAAAAGGAAGGGCTATAAGAAAAGGAGGCAGTAGAATAGGAGCAGGGGAATGTGGGGGCAGGCAGTGAGGCACAGATTTGGAGGGCAAGGGATGAATTAGTTGTCTTGGGCTCCCAGAGGACCTGGAGCAGGCATTCTTGTCCTTTGTAGTTCCATAGACTCTTTTGTCTGGTACCACCCAGGTAATGTTTTCAATGAATAAAACAAAAGACAAAGGTTATTAAGGAAAACAAATATATTGAAATATGGTTATCTAAATATTTTTTTAAAGACCAAATGTGCGATGTGGGAATCAAGTGCTTCTTGATTAATGCATTAAATTACAAGATCTAGTGATGGGTCTAACAATGACCATAGTTTCACCATAGTGATGAATGTAAATGAGCTATGAGAACATCTGTGATTTCTCCCAGGGACAAAGGCACAGGTACTCCTTTTTACAACTCTGGTTGGCTGCCTTTACTCATATTAGAAGGAAAAGCTAAATATCAGTTACAAGCTTTTAAAAATAAAGACATAATTTGTTTTCTATCCCTTTTCTCAAATCCTAGGTTGAGGAGCTCTGACCTAGGGAGACAATAGGAAGGTGGCCTCCAGATCTGCTCAGTTCCTTAAGAGTATCATGGAGGCCCCTGCCGGAGATGCCAGAGCAGCAAAGAGGCAGCCAGTGTTGAGGAGGAAGGAGCAGGAGCAGGGGGAGGTGATGCCCTTTTGGCTCTTAATTCAGTAAAGCCTCTCCCCTTCTCTTCTCTTATCTTCTACCACCTTCTGTGTCCCTTTCCTGTTCTCCTCACTCTTCTGTCAAGATTAAAGGGTCAGGAGATGGAGTAGTGGAGCAAGGGAGAAGTCTCGTTCTTCTGGCCCTCCATCCCAGAACTGGGGCGTGGGCTTTGATAGAGGCTTCCAGGAGACAGCTCTGACCCAGCCTGTAAGGTCTCAGCGTCTGACTCATCTCATTCTAGCATTGTTCTGAAAGGCTACAAGCAGCCTCTGACGCTCGAAGATGTCTGGGATGTGGATGAACAGAGTAAAACCAAGGTGCTAGTCAGCAAATTTGAAACACACATGGCCGGGGAGCTGCCGAAGGCCAGGCGGGCACTGCGGAGACGGCAGCAGAAAGCCCAGAGGAACTCTGGAACCAAGCAGCACGGGCTGAATAAGAACCAGAGTCAAAGCCAAGATGTCCTTGTCCTGGTAACTTTTCCACGAGGGTCTGTGTGAATGTGTTGTATGTCTCAGGCAAGAGGACATCCGTGTCATGGTGATTCTGTTCTCACATTTTTTACATCATTTATACTTTGCAGTGTATTTTATATTATTATTTATAGTCACAAAACTAAGAATACCTTAGTGATGGAAACATAGGGGTATGATGCACTATTTGCTTTCCTTTGGGGTATATTTGAAATTTTCTATAATAAATGTTTGTTTGTTTATTTGTTTGTTTGTTTAATCCTCACCCGAGGATATTTTTCCATTGATTTCAGAGAGAGTAGAAGAGAGAGGGAAAGATAGCAAGAAACATCAAAGTGAGAGAAACACATCGATTGGTTGCCCCTTGCACGCCCCTGACTAGGGTCGGGCCAGGGAGGAGCCTGCAACTGAAGTACATGCCCTTGACCAGAATCAAACCCGGGACCCTTCGGTCCACAGGCCAACACTCTATCCACTGAGCCAATCTGGCTAGGGCTAATAAAATGTTTTTTCAAATAGAAAGATAGAATGAAATAATACCTTAGCGTTCTAGAATTTGTACCTTAGTGGAATTTAGCATTGGCAGTTAATTCGTTGGCTTTTTTTTAAACTTGAAAATACTTACTGAGAGTCACTGTGCGTCACCAAACCTGTACAAGAAGGCGACAGGGCTCAGGGCTCTGCCCTGGAGCTGTCAGTGCAGGACAGAACCTACACTCGCAGCGCTGGGGACACTGTTGCTGTTTGGTGTTGTACCTAGGAAGAGGCTAAAAAGAAAAAGAAGAAGTCTGGGACCGCAGAAGACTTTCCTAAGTCCTGGTTGGTCAAGACCCTCTTCAAAACCTTCTATGGCATACTCCTGAAGTCATTCCTGCTGAAGCTGGTGTACGACGCGCTCACGTTTCTGAACCCACAGCTGCTGAAGTGAGTCTCAGCCCAGCGCTGTCTCGGCGCCTCCTCTACCACTCTCCCTTTTGCTCCCTGTGTCTGCAGCAGGAACTTACCGTTAAAAAAAAAATTTTTTTTATTGATATCAGAGAGGAAGAGAGAGAGAAACATCAATGGTGAGAGAGAATCATTGATCGGCTGCCTCCTGCACTCCCCCAGCTGGAGATCGACCTTGCAACCCAGGCGTGTGCCCTGACTGGGAATCAAACTGACCTCCTGGTTCATAGGTCGATGCTCAAACACTGAGCCACGCCGGCCGGGCCGTTGAATTTTCACTTTTAAAAATGCTCACAATTTTCTTCCATCGTACAGTGTTGTGTTCAGGAAGGGTGCAAGGTAGCTTTCCAAATCTAAGATATGTTCTTTAGCCTCCCTCTTTGTCATGTTTCCCTCCATTCCGACTCTCCCTTCCCTCCCCTTCTGCCCCTGGAAGCCAGATACTTGTTAGATGTTCTTTCTTGTTAAACAAAACCTCTATGGGTTGAGCCGCATCCAAGAGGTGGGCAGCATATCCCAGGAGAGCCTTGTACCTCGTGCCTGTAACCTCATTGCTCCACAGTCTCAGCCTTCCATGGGAGGTTCAGGTCAATCATGACAAGACCTGACAATCTGCCCGGATCTATGAATGAACGATCCTCCAGGGGAAGCCCTTCTAACTCATTCTGGATACATGTCCTAATTCCTTCCAGGCTTGCCTTGTCTAGGAGCAAATCGATTTGTCCCACAAGTCGATTTATACCAAGGGCTGGAGGGAGACAGGGACAAAGCTCTGTACGTCATCCATAATCCTGTCTCATAGCCCTGGGCCATCAAACCTAAGCTCTTCCTGCTCATCTTCAAACCAAAGCAAGAGCACTAGCATGATTGTGGCACCCCCTCTTCCAAGAGCATCGGGCGGTTCTGGTCACTTTGTCACCTCCAGGGGAGGGGAGGGGAGGGGAGAGTGTGGAGTGTGGAGCCCTCGGAGGCTTGGCGGCCATCACTCACTCGGTTTTGCTCTGGCAGATTGCTGATCTCCTTCGCAAATGACCGTGACGCCTATGTGTGGATTGGGTATCTCTATTCAATCCTTTTCTTCGTTGTGGCCCTCGTCCAGTCTTTCTGCCTTCAGTATTACTTTCAATTGTGCTTCACGCTGGGCGTAAATGTACGGACAACCATCATGGCCTCCGTATATAAAAAGGTAAGTGGACTGTGTTGGGCATCACCAAAGAAAGCTCCCTTAGTAAACGTGAGCACTTACTAGTATTCCAAGATGGAGGGAAATTTGGTGAAAATGATAACTGGCCTTAACTCTTGATTTTGACTAGCTATACAGCCTTATTTAATGTTTCTTTGGAAATTAAAATATGAAATGTGTGTACATCGATATAGGTATCTGGGGAGGAGGGGGAGATGCAATCCAGGGGAAAATTGGCAAGCTGTTCTCTGCCCAGGACCTGCCTTTTCAGCCTTACAAACCTCTTCTTCTTCCTACCTCTCAACAAGGTGAAAACGTCTTGGGAAAGAATTTAAAGTCAGAAAGAAGCAGGCCAAGGGCAGACTCTTAAAACCACCAACATTTAAATGCAATACTACATGAAACAGCATTCATAAGGCCTGGGCATCTATCTCAAATTGCAATTTTGCCATAAGCTAGAATGCTCTATGGACCAGGGCTTTATCCCTCTAGACCCACTTTTGCTTAGAGACTTCTTTTTCTAAATCTTTAGTGGCTGACTAACCCCTCCTCTGCCTGACTCTTTTTTTTTTTTTTTTTTTTTTTAAATATGTTCACTCTGCCTTCTGAGTTCTGCAGACCTGGGAGCTTTTCCATCTCCTTATGATGGTTTTGCTCATCTTCCCTCTGATGTGCTGCTTTTAACGTTTTAACTGTATTTTTCTTATATCCTACATACTAAGGTGAAGTCTCATTTTGTCCCTTAAAAATGAAAACAGAGTTCATTGTATCTCAATAAAGAAGAAATAAATAAAAAGAAAGAAATGGAGCTATAATAGTTATGAGCATTGACTATAAGCCCAAGGAGAGAATTCATACATGAGGAGATAGGAATGTTTGTAGGCCAGAACATCAAACAGTTGCCTTTTCTTCCTGGTATTCTTTCACCACTAGAGAGTTCCATCATTGATTTCTCCATGGTAGTCCCTGGGTTTCTCCTTTGCTTTCCTCTCTTACGACTCCAATGTGTCTTTTTATTCCCTCAGTAGATGTTGACTCGTCAAGACACCCAGACAAGTAATCCAGATGTCTTTGGGTTAAAAGTCTGATCAAGTCCTTGGAACTCCCAGAAACCCTCACACTGGCATTTGCCTCCTCACAAATCAGTGTTTTAGTCACCTTATTCCCTGTGAAGATACTAGATTTCTGCTGGTTTGCAGGCTATCCGGTCACTAACTAGGATGTCTCAGCCATTTCTACAAATGTACATTTTTACAATTGTGATCATTCATTCCCACTATTTTGATTCTTAATATATTCCAGGTTTTGCAACTGTTACAATCTAAAAGGAATTTATAAAATAGAGCTCTTAGTGAGACAAATAAATATTGCTAATAAAATAGAATTTAAAACAAACTAATTTTCTATGTTTAGCCAATGCTTCATTTATGAAATGTCAAGAGACATTTTTCACATTCATTATCAATCCATAGCCCTGTGAAATAATTGCATTATCCTTATTTTACAGAGAAATAAGGCTTAGTGCTATGCAATGCCTATAGTCACATAGCTAAGACCTGTCCCCAGACAAAGGCTATTTGGACTAAATCAATGACTTTTCCACTTCATTGAGATTTGCTGAAAAAAGAAAAGTATAGTGATTATCTTGAAGGGTAATTAGATGTTACTTTTCTTTTCCATACCGCAGGGGAAGCATAGAAGTGGACTGATTTCTCTAGAACCTTAGTAGCTTAACATTTTAGGAAATTTCCCTCTTTTTTACTGTATAACCAAGAATCCTGGTATGTTCCTAAGAAGAATGTATTGGTGGATTAAGATGACAGTAGAATTTCTAGGAGAAATATTGGGGTGAAAATCTAGGGCCACTTGTAGCCCATACACTATCTTTGTGGGAATTAGAAGAAAGCTTTCCTTCTTCCAGGAAGATGGTGACTGGTGGGCATAGTGCAAGCTGGTTTGAGAATCCACCTCTAACTCTAAAGTGCCAGGCATCCTTGTAAGTGACAGAACTATGAGGATCAGCCTTCTGATCTCTTTAACATGAGAACAAACAGGAGGCCCATACTATAAGATTCAGGTATCTAGATATTGTCTGCAAATTTCTGACAAGAAACTAGTCATTTTTCTTCTAATGTGTGAACCCCACAACTTTCCTCCCCATTCTAAGATCTCTGTCCTTCTTTGGAATGGTTGCAACCTCCTCATTAGAGTATGGCTCCAAATGACATTGCCACATCAAAAGTCTGCAAGGCCAGAATCAATACATGCTGCCTCTCTTCACCCCTCCATTCAATCCATCTTTCAATATTTGATTCCCTACCCTGTGGCATGTGATACAGTAGTGAAATGGACAGATGTAGTCCTTGTCCTCACAGAATTTATATCTGGTGGGGAAATAGAAAAAACAAAACAATTACAGCTCAGGGTGATGAATAGAATGAAAGAGGTAAGCACAAGATGTTATAAGAGTACACGGGTGGGGGTGGGGGGGGGTATCAAACCCAAGCTTGAAAGTCAGTGAAGTCTTCTCAGAATATGTTCTATCCAAGCTGACCCTAAAGAATAAATAGGAATTTTCTGAGCAAAAAAAGTGTGGGGAGGTGTGGGTTTGGAGAAGGTGAGAATAACAGGAAAGCATAGTCAAGAATGAGAGAACACGGTGTGTGAAATTTGGAGGCAAGAAGGCACAGCCCCTTGAAAATGTTGTGTCTACATGGAGCCCATCCTTTTGCCGTGTTCTCACTTCCTGAGTTCCCCCTTTTACTTCCCAGTATCCTTGGCCTTGTCCATGGGTCCCAAGTCAATCTTTATCTTTAGGCACTGAACCTATCCAACCGGGCGAGGAAGCAGTACACCGTTGGGGAAACAGTGAACCTGATGTCTGTGGATGCCCAGAAGCTCATGGACGTGACCAGCTTCATCCACCTGCTGTGGTCAAATGTTCTACAGATTGTGTTATCCATCTACTTCCTATGGATAGAGCTGGGACCCTCAGTATTAGCGGGTGTTGGGGTGATGTTGCTCCTAATCCCAGTTAATGGGGTAATCGCCACCAAGAATAAGGCTATTCAGGTAAACAAGCAGAGCACCCTATGGATATATACACTTTATTCGAAGTCTAAAGTCTTTTGCTTATGTTATTCTAACTCTTGGTGGGAGTGCGGACAGAGCAAAGCTGATGGAAGACTTTCCACCATCCCAAATGAACTTGGTTTTTTCTATCTCCCCTTTTTATGTTCTAACCGCTCTTAGGGTTTATATGCGCCATCTTCCTTCATTGTTACAGGAAGAAGCCTGATTGGATAGAGAAGAGCTGCCCAGAGACCCTGCACATAATTATCTCTTCCACCATGCTCCACTGGGCTCTTCTTAGAACAGTGATTATTGGCCCTGTTTCTTCATCATAGCAATACACACCAACCACACAGAGCACTCACAGAGTGACTCAAACTTTAAGCCTAAATCCTAGCAACCAACCTCGCTAGCACTTGGTAGGCGGTCCTTAGTGCTGCCAGAAATCATAAGTGGAGTGTGTGGACTCCATGGTGTCCATGATTTATTCATTCATTTTGCATTCATTTAGTTACAAATTATTTTGAGAATATTTATTGTACATATTGCTTTTCTGGGAACACAACAGCAAGTAGACAGGCTCTTGTTCTAGTAGAGTTTACATTCTACTTGGGGTGGAGAGTCAAGCCATAAACAAACAAAAGCAAAGAAAAAAATATCAGGTCATGACAAGTACTCTGCAGAGAATTGAATAGGGTGATGTGATAGCAAGTGAGTGGGTAGTTGTTTTAGATTACGGGGTCAGGAAAGGCCTCTGTGAGGAGGGGATATTTGAGCTGAGCTCTGAACAACACAAGCCTGACCATGAAGGAGCAAGCCTTGAGAAAAATAACCTGGGACGAGAGAATAGTTAGGCCAATGCTTTGGGGGCAGACATAAGCTTGGCACGTTCAAGGGTCAGAAAGAAGTTGGGTGTGGCAGGGGCAGAGTGGGCAAAGAGAGTGGGAGAGACACATTCCATCACTTGGCACCTCAAATTCTTGCCAGCCACAAGTACTACCAAGACCTACCATTTGCATCTACAGCAAATCTGGACCTTTTCACATGGAAGTGTGTTTTATTTTTGTTTTACTTTTTCCTGGCAGGCAAAAAATATGAATAAGAAAGACAAACGTTTGAAGATCATGAATGAGATTCTCAATGGAATCAAGGTGAGAAGCCAAGGGTATGGCTGGCCCTTCTCTGTGTGCAATGATGGCAGGTCTTGGTCTTAACAAACCTGGTAGAGGCTGTGGACTCCTGCTTCTAGGCCTGTGGGGTGTCCTGTGACATCAAAAGTCTGCAAGGCCAGAATCAATACATGCTGCCTCTCTTCACCCCTCCATTCAATCCATCTTTCAATATTTGATTCCCTACCGTGTGCCATGTGATACAGTAGTGAAATGAACAGTCTCCTGTTTCTTCTCAGGGCCTTATTTGTACCTTGATTTCTATTTATTTACCATAAGTGGTTTGTTTTGTTTTACATTACCTTGCAAATTGTTGACTGTGCACAAAAGTAGACAAAATGATACAATCAATCCCCCTGGGCATCAGCCAGCTCCAGCAATAATTGACATGACCTAACTAGCTTCATCTATAACCCCATTCTCCACTTCATGCTCTGCTGAATTATTTTAAAACAAATCTCAGATTATCTTGTTGTTTCATTAATAAATACTTTCTATATATTTCTAAAAGAAAGACTTGTTTTTTTAAAAAAATTGTATTTTTATTGATTTCAGAGAGGAAGGGAGAGGGAGAGAGAGATAGAAACATCAATGATGAGAGAGAATCATTGATCGCTGCCTCATTCATGCCCCCTGCTGGGGATTGAGCCTGCAACCCAGGGATGTTCCCTGAACTAGAATCGAACCCGGGACCTTTCAGTCCACAGGCCAACACCATATCCACTGAACCAAACTGGCTAGGGCAACTGTTGGTTAGTTTGAATAAGGATCCAAAGAATATCCACATAGGGCACTTAGTTGGTAGTGCTTTTAATCTACAACAGTGACCCCTGTCAGTCCATATTCATCCTTATTAAATGTCCTGCCATCCTTGCACCTGGAGCACTGATTTGTGGCCCAGAGAGCATGTTTTGATCCCTCAGTCAGTTTTTAAAACTCACTGAGGCTTGGGCCCTACTTCAAACCATTTAAATTAGACTCTCTAGGGGTAAGCCCCAGGCATATATTATATTTCAAAAGCTCCCTAAGTGATTCTAATATGCAGCTAAGGTTGAAAACCCATTGTCATTGCCTTGATCTATTATTTCATTAGGAGTTACCAAGGGGTGATATTTTAATTCTATTATTCCTTTGGCATTGGTTAGCTGAAATTCTATAAAAAGGAATTATCCTAAAATAAAATTTATATAGGATAGAAAGGATAAATGCTTCTTTTCTTTCCTCTATTTACCAACTTTCAAAATAATGCATTTCATCTTCCAAAGGTGACCAATGAGGTGTTTTTAAAATATATATGTTGTTTTGAATTCATGGATTTTACACCCAAAGTTCTTGAAAGTGCAATGGAGGCCCCTTCTAATGCCCTGATATGTCTCCACAAAGGGCTCTGATATGCCTTCCTGCTAATGTGGCAAAATGAACAGACCTGGTTTTGAGTTTTACCTCTATTACCAGCTAATTGGTGAGCAAGTTACTTAGCCTCTCTCAACTTGTTTCCTTAACGTAAAGAAATGAATAAAATAATTCTACAAAAGTAGGAGACTAACTCTTCCTAGTTTGCCCAGGATTTTCCAGGATTAGCACCAAAAGCCTTGTGTACTGGGCAGCTCTTAGTCCCGGGCAAACTGGGACAGTTGGTCACCCTTAGATTGTTACAAAGATTAAGTAAAATAACGTCTATAAAATGTTTGTACATAGTAGGTTGTCAACAAATATAAGCTATGTTTCTGTAACCAAACTTTATAATCTGGATTTCTGCCCCCTCCCCACATTTTGGGGGCCATGTCCTAACACCTGGGTGGATGAGACACCAGTGTCCTTTGGGGCAACAGTGTGAGCTGTGTTCTTTTCTATCCTATTAGATCCTGAAATATTTTGCCTGGGAACCTTCATTCAAAAACCAAGTCAATGACATTCGGAAGAAAGAGCTCAAGAATCTGCTCACCTTTGGGCAGATGCAGTCGATGATAATGTTCCTCTTATACTTAACTCCAGTCCTGGTGAGTGACAGTCGATGGGCGGGTCAGCTTCCTGAGGAAGAAAGTCTGTCCTAGATAGACTTCCCAGAACCTCTAGGTCGCATCAGGAAGTCCAAACTCTGCCCCCCCTGCTCAACTCCCTATACTACCTCATGCCCAACTCTAGTTTCACCTTTGTGTATAGTTTGGTGGTCTGGGGGCCCAGAGCAAGTTGCCAGGGTGTCCAGGAATGGTTTGCAAAGGAGGGCCTCTTGCTTCTCAGGGAGGCCATGTGGGTCAATAGAGGAAGAAACACTGATATAGGAGCCAAGTTCTAGTCCCAGCAATGCCATTAATTGACTTTATGACTCGGGCAAGATATTTCCTCTCGTGCTCGCTTCGACAGCACATATACTAAAATTGGAACAACACAGAGATTAACATGGCCCCTGCACAAGGATGGCATACAAATTCGTGAAGCATTCCTTTTTTTATTTTTTTAAATATATTTCTTCCTCTTCTGGGCTCAGCTTTCTCATGTGTAACATGGGATGGCTGAGATGATCCTTAAGATCCCTTCAACTCTGATCTACTGTGTTCCGGAGCCCTTTTAGGAACAAATTGTTCATGACCTTGCTTTTCCAGGTATCTGTCATCACATTTTCAGTTTATGTCCTGGTGGACAGCAATAATATTTTGGATGCAAAAAAGGCCTTCACCTCCATCACCCTCTTCAATATCCTACGCTTCCCCCTGGGTATGTTTCCCATGATGATCTCCTCGCTGCTCCAGGTAGGAACTTTCACTGCTAACTGATGGCCTCTTAGTAAAAGCCGTAGAGTCTAGAATGACCAGTCTATCATATCTCATTTCCAGCTTCTGCTGGTAAACTTTCAACCAGACAGATTTGTTTGGTCTCTGAAGAAGGATGGTTTGATCTTAGTAAAATCACAAGCTCTCTGAGCCCATTTATCTGACTATAAAGTGAGGATTCTCATCTGCCTCACAGGGAGGCCGTGCAGTCATTAACCCTGTGTACCTGGAACATTCCTAAGCCCTTTTCCCAACTTAGTTTCCACACATTTCCCCAAGGCTCCTGAGGTATTTATATAGCATCAGGGAACTATGGATCGAAGGAAGAAAAAAGACCCTCTCTCTGTATGAGCCATCTAACGGTAAGACCAAAGGCAATTTGGGAGCCTTAGCCGTCAGAAAATGAGTTTGGGGTTCAGGAGGGAGCCTCTGGGTCCTGAAAACTGAGCCTGGTCACTGGGATGGACCAGACCTCAGAGGGAAGACCACAGGGCAGGCGAGGCAGCCAGGCTGGCAGAGTGTGGTGATCTGTGTTCCTCTCAGAGGTGGCTGACTTCAGACCGCTCAGGCCAAAAAAGGCTGGGGTTTAGGAGAAGGCCTCCCTGTCCTAAATGGCATTAAGAAAAGCTGGCAGGTATGACCGATAAAGAAACAACATGCTCTTTTTGGACTGAGTTTATTACGTAGATAGTGAGAGCAAAAGCACCAGCTCCCTACGTTCCCTGTCCCACAAGATGGCACTGAGACAAAAGGGGCCAGAGGACAATGCACTTGGAGGTAGGGGGAGAGGGGGTGTTCTGTTTCTGAGGAGCTGGTCCCTGCAGCCATCAAGCAGTTTTATAGTCTGTGGTTGCACCCTAAGGAGAGGGCAAAGCAGAAAGCCTCACTTCATCAGAACCCAGGTAGTGGCGAGAAACCATCTCCTGACAGCCTCCCTGGCAGACGGGGGCGGGGGGTGGGAGGTGGGGTGTGTGTGTGAGAAACATCCTTGCAAAGCTCCCGGAAATCTTCCCAATGTCTCATGTTCCAGGGGGACCACTGGGTGTCCTGCCAACACACACATCAGTTGCAATTGAAGCTCAGCCTACGTGGTCTGTGTCACAGTGCGCCCTGGCCAGTTCCCAGACAGAGTCCCAGTAGTGGCTCCCTTAGGCCACTGAACGGGTCCTTGAGGCGCGGACTCAGTTAAAGGAGAGCACGCCAGGGGCCTAGTTGCCAGAACCAGATAGAAGTTAGCGTTTTATCTTAGAGAAAGGCGAGACAGTTTCTGGAACCAGGTACAAATTGGAGAGAGAGCAGTAGAGTTGCCTCCCTCTCCCTGCCCCCCTCCCCTCAGTTTTCTGAAGGATTGAAATAGAGCATCTTATTTATCTCTGTCCAGAAGGACGGGCTGGCTCCCAGGGTTGAGGTCAGGCCGCATCTGTAGTGCGGGTCAGGAGGTTCCAGGGGCAAGTGGCAAATTATGGGCACGAAGCCTGGCAGATTGACTGTCTCCTTCCACAACCAGGGCTGACGACAGTCACAGTCCTCTCCCTGCTTGTGCTTGTCATTGGATGTTTTACTCTTGAGATGCGTTGTGTTCCAGGCCAGTGTTTCCTTGGAACGGCTGGAGAAGTACTTGGGAGGGGATGACTTGGACACATCTGCCATTCGACATGACTCTCACTTTGGTAAATGAACTTGGAAGTTGTTTCCCAAACTTATTCACAGTGCTGGCACCAGAACTCTGAAATACAAGGGCTCAGCAGTAGCAAATCGATTGAAAGGGAGAGTGAGGGGACTTATCTTGGACCTACATTTGCATATAAGTGTACTGTTTTTACTTAATTGTGTTTTCACTTAGAACAGCTTGCTTGGCCAGATTGCTAAATAAATTTAAGCCAGCTAGCTGTTCTGAGGATAAGCAGGGAATCCTGCAAAGAATCTAGAGGGCAGAAGTCAGCGCGGAGCTGAGTCTGTGGAGGGGTAAGGTAGTCTGGAGCGAAGGAAAGCGCAGGTTTAACGGTGGGAGGGCATTCCTGGCCAGAGCGAGCAGTTGGAGTGGAATCCAGGGTAGGGAGTAGCTGGATATGTATATATTGTAGGTGGAATTTGTACCAGGAGACTAGGGGACAGGGCCTGGAAATGTACCCAGAGAGTCTGTAGGTTTGAAATCCAGGCTCAAAACAGGCCTGGGACTCCTGAATCAGAAAGGACTTGGTATACAGGCAACTTCTGGTCTACCCCAGGAGCTTTCGCTAGCATAGGAGCCCACACAGGACAGAGATCTGGGGATCTGCTGGAGGAAGCGGAGAGGGACACGTGAGGGCTAAAAGGCAGACAGGCAGGTGGGGACCTACATCTGACTAAAAGCAGGGCCTTCTTCTCAACAGACAAAGTTGTGCAGTTTTCTGAGGCCTCCTTTACCTGGGACCAGGAGACGGAAGTCACAATTCGAGAGTGAGTTGCCTCCTTTCCATCCTGATGTTCTTTACGATTCTCCTTACCTGTCCTGTGATTGGAAAATTCCATCTAACAGAACACATGGGAAGTCGAGCTGTGTGCACATGTTCAGTTAGATAGCAGTGCAGGCTCAGCCGCTGCAAGGATGAGCTGACAGCAAAGATCCTGGGCCTCTTTGCTCTTGAATGCACCTGCCAACCTGCTCTCCTGCTGTGGGACCACACACGTCCAGCTGAGAACCCTGAAGGCATTTGTTCTGCAGATTGTGGCTGCAGGCGGGCAGGTGCCCTGGGTCTCCGGGTATGGTAGAGGATATACACAAGAACATGAACTCAATTTACGTTCATTCATTCACTTAAGAATGTAATTAAGAAGCCGAGACCGGTTTGGCTCAGTGGATAGAGCGTCGGCCTGCGGACTGAGGGGTCCCAGGTTCGATTCCGGTCAGGGGCATGTGCCTGGGTTGCGGGCACATCCCCAGTGGGGGATGTGCAGGAGGCGGCTGGTCGATGTTTCTCTCTCATCGATGTTTCTGACTATCTCTCTCCCTTCCTCTCTGTAAAAAATCAATAAAAATATATTTAAAAAAAAAAAAAAGAATGTAATTAAGAACATTGGCATTCCTTCCCCAGAGTGAACAATGGGAACTTTTTCTCTAAGATTCCATTTCAGGTCTGGAGTTTTACATCTAAATAACCCATCCCTACATTCCACGCTGCAGCCGCCTTCTCTGCCCTGAGCCAACCCCTTCTGGCCACAGCATTGCATGTAATGTGTTTCTTAAGCACTACGTGTAACAGAACACCCAGCCATCCACCAGCTCAGCACACACAATACACCGGGAGCCTGAGCCGGCCGTCCTTTTTTTCTTCACAACCAGGCACCCCTTCTCATCTTCCTGCTACTGTTAGGCCTTTCCACCCTTCTTTGCTATTTCCACAGCCTTGAACATGGACTCTGGAGCTTGCCCCAGGATGTGTCAGGCCAGAAACTCCTCCCCTGAACCCTCCCAGCCTGAAAGCCTCTCTTTGCAGAGAGAAGACTGGACACAGCTCCCCCTTTGCTAATATAAGCCTAGAACAAGTTCAGCTCAATGGGCAGCTTCGGAAAGACTATGAACAAGTTTCTGAGATTCTAATATTCCAGGAATTCAAACCATAGGGCCGACACACAGAGTTTCTAGGAGTCTAGCCCAGTGTGGATGTCTCCCCAGCCAGACACAGCCATGTCTCAGGGGAGCGGGCAGCAGTCTGTGCTTTCAGCAGGTGTTCCATTGGATGCCTAGTCTCACTGAAGAGCGAAGTCTGGGAAACAATAACCTAGTCCAAGACCACTAGTTTAGAAATGAGAGTTCAGAGGACGTGACATTTCAAGATCACACAGCTGGGCAGAGACAAAGCTGGGACTTGAACCCAGGTCTCCAGGCTCCCACTGGGGTCTTGTTCAATGGCACCATGTTGGTTCTAAGAGAATCTTTCCAGTGGAAACCCAAGGTTGGCACAAACAGCTCATAGGCAAGTTGAATACACTAGGACTCACTCTCTAGGCTCTTAGAGCTTAAAAATAAATAATTAAAGAAGCACTATGGAGTCTTGTATACCAAAGACTAATTTTCCAGTCTTGAGAGAAAATCTCCAAATACCAGACTTCCCATAGAGAGTCTGAGAAGTGGCCTGAACTCCTCTTGAATAAGTCCCCTCATCTCCTTCAAATTTACTTCTCTCTTTCAGTGTGAACCTGGACATCATGCCGGGCCAGTTGGTGGCTGTGGTGGGCACTGTGGGCTCTGGGAAATCCTCCTTGATGTCAGCCATGCTGGGAGAAATGGAAAATGTCCATGGGCACATCAACATCAAGGTGAGCGGGAATGCCAAGGGGAAGACTGACTCAAATGTGGGCCACTTCGTGCTGGACGGGCGCACTGAGGACTAGAATCTGACCACCACTGCTGTCAGGTTGCTGTATAGGTAAAAGGTCTGGGAGACACATGGTCCACTTGTAAACTGTAGATGCTTTGCCTCACCTTACATACATAATCAGACTCAAGGTGGATTCCAAGAATCTGCTTATTTTTTTAAAAAAAATCCTCACCTGAGGATATTTTCCATTGATTTACAGAGGGGGGGAAAGAGAGAGGGAAAGACAGAGAGAAATATTGATGTGAGAGAAACACATCGATTGGTTGCCTCCTGCACGCGCCCAGACCGGGGAGGAGCCTGCAACCAAGGTACGTGCCCTTGACCAGAATCGAACCTGGGACCCTTAGGTCCACTGGCCGATGCTCTATCCACTGAGCCAAACCAACTAGAGCTAAGAATCTGCATTTTTAATGAGCTACCCAGGTGATTCTCATACGCATACTAAAGTTTGAAAAATGTTGAATAGAGATCTTTCCCTTCAGAGTATCGGCAGTTCTGCTATACCTATATTTGTTTCTGAAAACTTCAAGTTCCACAAAATTGTGCAATAAAAATAACAAGACTTAGGGGAAAGAGTTGTAACCGATTATTAAACTTGTATAACTTTAAGATAATAAACAATGGCAATAAAAACAGTAGCACTGCAAAGTCTGCTGGCAACTGTTCCCAGCATCACAATTAGTTCAGGGCCTCCCTTTCCTCCTTTGGGGGCACTTGTTTCCAATACAAAAATTTGATGTAAGATATAGGCATATTTATCAATTATGTTTGTTTTGTAAACCTCACCTGAGGATATTTTTCATTGATTTTAGAGAGAGAAGGAGAGAGAGAGAGAGAGAGAGAGAGAGAGAGAGAGAGAGAGAGAGAGAGAGAGATTTCTCAGCTGCCTCCCATATGCATCCCAACTGGGGATCGAACCCACAGCCTTTTTGGTGTATGGGACAACATTCAATCAACTGAGCTACCTGGCCAGGCAATTATGATGTTTTTAACAGAGAGAAAATGTTTTCATGGCATCCTCATGAGCACTCTCAGCTTCCCCAGAGAGCTACATTAAGGGGAAACTATAGGTACTTTGAGTCATTGAACCAGCCGTTACTTGCACCAAAAAGAGGCATGTCTATAGATCTGTAGCTGTTTTCCTTAAGATCTTTATATATTGCTAAGCCTTCTTTTTAATTATGAGAAAGCTCACTCCTGATTGCTTTACATTGACATGTTTGGACCTTTTTAAGAACATGTACTTTATACTGACATTATCCCCTGATTTACCAATAACTAATGAGCTAATTTGCATTAATCCACATGCAGTGTAGCAGAGCACACTCTACAGACTCTTCTCAATTACAGTTTACGTTCAGTATTATTTTGTATTAGTTTTAGATGTACAGCACAGGGCTTAGACAATCATATATTTCATAAAGAGGTCCTTCCTTATTTCAACTACCCACCTGGCACTGTACATGGTTATTACAATACTAGGGGCCCAGTGCACGAATCTGTGCGCTTTGAAAGGAACTGGGGCCATGAGGCTGCGGAGGGCACAGGCATGGGTCTTGACCCATCCTTCGCACCCCGGCCCGGCCCTCTTGCCGTGGCCCCCTGCCCCCTGCCTGCCAACAGCCCCGCTCCTGCCGCTGCTGCTTCCATGCCCTGACATCGCACCTGCTGACAGCGCGGAGTTATTGGGGCTGGTGCCAGCAGCGGGTGTGAGCAGGACCAGTGCCCTCAGCAGATGCAAGTGGTGGCTGCTGCCCCGATCACCCCTCAGGAGCAGGGGGAGGTAGAAAAGCTCTCAGGGGCGATCGGGGCCAGCAGCCACCACTTGCACCCACTGACAGCGTTGAGCAATTGGGGCTGGCGCTGGGCGCTGGCAGTGGGTGCAAATGCCTGGTGGGACTGCAGCATGTAGGAGCAAAGAATTTTCAGTAATCACCAGAGGCTCGTCCTGATGACAGTGACCAGTGCCCCGCCTTGGTCTGGCGCCCCCACTCACCTGCTCCACCATCCCACCATGTTCCGTGCACGCCCCCTGGTGGTCAATGCACGTAATAGTGACCAGTAGTTTGGTTGCTCGTTCGGTCTATTTGCATATTAGGGTTTTATATATATAGATTATTGACTATATTCTCTATGCTGTACTTTTCACCCCTGTGACTATTTTGTGTCTACCAATTTGTAGTTCTTAATCTCTTCACCTTTTCACCCAGCTCCTCCCTCCCTTTTGGCAACTATTAGTCTGATCTCTGCATCTGTGCAGCATCTACAGATTTAATTCTGTTTCTTAACTCCTTTTAGGAAGTGTTTTCTTGCTACCTCATAACTGAGTTTTTCCTCAAACACAGGCTTTTGTCAGGCTCATCTTTCTTTGGACATGATCTGCTTCATGCATCAGCCTGCACCCTAATTCCAATCTCTTAGTCCTTGCTTCCTCAGCTGCCATCTATACCAGGCCCCTGGTAGTGTTATCCCTCAGTTGCTCCTAGTAAACTCACTTGGGTCTGACTAGAACCCTGTTCTAGAGCCAGCACATGCATTCATCCTCCCATTTTCAGGATCATAGCTAGAAAATGAGAGTCTAAAAAAGAGGACTTTACATGACAAGTAAGACTTCCTTCTCGAGGGCAACTAAGATGGCGGCATAGGTAAACACCGGGAAATTATCACCTCACACAACAATTGAAAATTACCGCAAAGGACCGAGCAAACATCATCCAGAACAACAGGAAGGCTGGCTGAGTGTAAATTCCACAACTAGAAGGAAAGAAAAGCACGCTGAGAGCCAGAGGCGCTGCGGAGGTGAAGTGCAGAGGTACGGCGGCGTGCGCGCGCGAGGAAAGGGGGTGGCGCCTGAGGACGCGGCTGTCTTTTTGAATCACAAACTCCGACGGCTCTGAACTCCGGTTCCGGGAAGTCACTGGGGACCCAGGTCTCATACGGGGAGAAGCTGGTCTGTCCGGCAGCGAGCGAACTTGAGGGCGGCTTTCCCTCAGAGGTGCTTGCAGCCGTTACCGGAACACTGAGACGTGCGACTCCGGCGGAGAATCGGCCATGGCCGCTTTCTCCGCCCTCTGACTCCCTGAGACCCCGCCCCACCCAGGCTGCGGCAGAGGCTTTTGCATGTGAATGTACCTAACTGCAGCCCAGCCAGGCAGACCTGGAACTTCCAAGAGAAGGCCCAAGGCCCCGCAGCGGCTTGCATTGCTTCACAGCTGAGCCTCTTCGTGGCTCCTGCTGTGTGGCCTCAGGCAGAGGCTGAATTAGCACCTCCTTAGATCCAGGAGCCACTGTACCCAGTGGTCAGAGGGTACCAGACTGCAACTCCTCAGATCCATAAGGGACACACTCAGGGAGCAGACTCAGTGAGCACCAAAGCCCCACTGAAGCAAGTCTTGCCCCAGAAGGGTGTCTTCAGCACAGAAGTTCTCCCACTTTAGACACAGCTGATTCTCACAGCCAATTGGCCTGGAGGTCAATTCCTCCCAGTGATTCTACAACAACCAAGGCACCAAGAGTGCACCAAGAGTGTCCACCCCAGGTAACTGGGGAGGCTGAGCTACTGGGCCCTACAGGACACCTGGCGCACAGGGCCACTCTATCAACACAGGGAAGCTGCCAAAATGCGGAGACAAAGAAACAGGTCACAAATGGCAGAAATGGAGGAAAGCAAACGATTGGATATAGAGTTTAAGGCCACGGTTATAAGGTTTTTCAAGAATTTTATGGAAACCGCCGATAAATTTAATGAATCCCTCAATAAGTATAGGGAGACCATGGAGGACATGAAAAAGGACCAACTAGAAATTAAGCATACACTGACTGAAATAAAGAATAATTTACAGAGATCCAGCAGCAGAAAAGAGGATCCCAAGAATCAAGTCAAAGATTTGAAATACAAAGAAACAAAAAATACCCAACCGAAAAAGAAAAAAGAAAAGAGATTCCAAAAATATGAAGATAGTGTAAGGAACCTCTGGGACAACTTCAAGCGTACCAACATCAGAATTATAGGGGTACCAGAAGGAGAGAGAGGGCAAGATATTGAAAACTTTTTGAAGAAATAATGACAGAAAACTTCCCCTACCTGGTGAAAGAAATGGACTTACAAGTCCAGGAAGCGCAGAGAACCCCAAACAAAAGGAATCCAAGGAGGACCACACCAAGACACATCATAATTAAAATGCCAAGAGCAAAAGATAAAGAGAGAATCTTAAAAGCAGCAAGAGAAAGACAGTCAGTTACCTACAAGGGAGTACCCATACGACTGTCAGCTGATTTCTCAACAGAAACCATGCAGGCCAGAAGAGAGTGGCAAGAAATATTCAAAGTGATGAATAGCAAGAACCTGCAACCAAGATTACTTTATCCAGCAAAGCTATCATTCAGAATAGAAGGTCAGATAAAGAGCTTCACGGATAAGAAAAAGCTAAAGGAGTTCATCATCACCAAACCAGCATTATATGAAATGCTGAAAGGTATTCTTTAAGAAGAGGAAGAAGAAAAAGGAACTCTTACCATTTGCCACAGCATGGATGGAACTTGAGAGCGGATAAATACCACAGGATCTCACTTCATTTGTGGAATATAATGAACAACATAAGCTGATGAACAAGGACTGATCCAGAGACGGAGAGGCATTGATTGGACTGTCGGGACTTGGAGGGAAGGTAGGGGAGGGTGGGGGTAAGGGGGAAAGATCAACCAAAGGACTTATATGCAAGCATATAGGCCTAACCAATGGACATGGACAACGGGGGGGTGAGGGCATGAGCAGGGGTGGGGGGGGGTGGGGGGTAGAGGGTAACGTGGGGACAAGGACACATATGTAATATCTTAATCAATAAAAAAAAAAAAAAAAAAAAAGACTTCCTTCTCCATGGAGTTCCTTCTCCATGGTTTGTGAAAAAATTCAAATACATTTATAAATATCAGATGTTCAGTCAATTTGACATACATTTCTTCAAGTCTAAGTTCCATTTGTTCCTTCCGGCTCCTGCCACCCCGTCCTTCAACCCTGCATTTCTGGAGGTACAACTGTCTTCTGGTCTCATATTTCCCATCTAGGGCACGATAGCCTATGTCCCACAGCAGTCCTGGATCCAGAATGGCACCATAAAGGACAACATCCTTTTTGGATCAGAATTCGATGAAAAGAGATACCAGCAAGTTCTAGAGGCCTGTGCCCTCCTCCAAGACTTGAAAGTGCTGCCTGGGGGAGACCTGGCTGAGATTGGAGAGAAGGTACTTAGAACCTTAAAGGGTGCAGAAATATCAAAGAAAAAATGTGAGGATGGCAAAGAAGTACATAGGAGTAAAATAGCTGACCAATTTCGGTGGTCATGTTGGGAATAAACACCAGAAAACATGAGTTTGTACAATATTTTATACAAATATAGCAATCCAGAAATTTTAAATTTGGTACCTGGAAGCAAATACAGGGATTATGTACTCTGAAGGAAAGAGGAGGGTAGGACCGGAGAGGTTAAGTAACCAGTGACTGGCCCCAGGTTGATGTCATGGCGGAGGGACAGAGCCTATGTGTCCTGCCTCTACTTCTGTACATCAGCAAGGGTCAGAGAAGGGTTCTAGTAACCTGCTTTGAACAGACAGATATTTAATGTGGATTATTTCCTGATGTTATTAAATGCCTTTCTTAAAAATGGATTTTTAATGACGACTGCGTATTTTATCCATTGTATGGATAGAGAATAATTTGTTTAGAAAATCCCTGATTATTACATATGTAGGATGTTTTCATCCTCCCTCCTGTTAAAAACAAAATTAAACCAAGTGCAGTTGAAGGTCTGATTGACTTGATTATTTATGAATGAGGCAGAATCCCACCTAGCAACTCCAAGGGCACTCAAAGTGTTATACAAAAATAGAAAGAAAAAAAAAGGGTGGGGAAAGAAAGCTATTAGAAAAAAATAAATAAATAAATTATCTGGGGGCACCTGCACATCTGTTTTTGCTTGTTTGTTTTGTTTTTGTGTTTTGGGGTTTTTTGTTGTTGTTGTTTTTTGGAGGAAGAGACCAGGGAAGGGTTTCATCATGCAGAAAGCCTCTCCTTTCTGGGGCGGGGGTGGGGGTGGGGTGGGGTGGAGAAGGCCCCCAGGACAGACTACCTCCTTGGCATTGCCTAGAAAAGGTCACACGGGTTGACTAAGTGTTTCTGGGAGAGGTTGAAAGAAATTAGCTCAGGTATTACATCTAGGTTTGGTGTTCTGGGCTTTAGCACAAGTGACACCATTTGGGCCTGTGGTTCTCTCTTGAACAATCCCCATTATTAAAACTGCCTATAGCAGTCTTTGAGGACAAGGATCTTGAAATGTTAGAAGACCCGTGAAGATACAGCTCTAGAGTGATTTTGTTCATTGATTCAACACACATTTACTGAGCACCTATGTGCCAGAGACTGTTTCAAGTGCTGGAGTTACATCCATGAACAAAATAGAGAAAATCTGCCTGGTGTAACATTACATTCTTATGGGACAGGAAGCAACAAAAAATAATAAGTAAATTATACAGTAGAAAATGGTAAGTCGGGCCTGCCTTTAATTATTGGGCCCAAAGGGTTTTATTTGAATTAAAGTTGCTTTTTGTATAAAGGAACTTGAAGACTTGTAAGCCCTTAATACCTTATTGAGAAACATCTCTTTCTTACCCCTCCTCAGTAGCCTCCGTGCAGGCAGGACTGGGGCCCAGTGCTTAATAGAAATGCTTTTCTTCTTCAGGGTATAAATCTCAGTGGGGGTCAGAAGCAGCGCATCAGCCTGGCCAGAGCTGCCTATCAAAATGCAGATATCTATATTCTGGATGACCCCCTGTCGGCCGTGGATGCTCACGTGGGAAAACACATTTTCGATAAGGTCTTGGGTCCCAATGGCCTATTGAAAAGCAAGGTGAGGAATCATTTAAAGTGGCAAAGCCGTGAGGTATGTGTTTCGGGGGCACACATCTAGGTCAGCTGCAGTCCTGAAGCAGATTTCCTTATTGACCTGCCCCCCCCGGGCTGCTGAGGAGACAGTGTCAGACTGGTCTTCCAGGAGCTAAGCCCATAAGGGCTCCCATCTTGAGGTCATGGCAAATTCTAGCTTATTCTGTGGCCTGGGCATTGAGCCCATTAGGATGATTGATTATGATAGAAAGCACGTTGAGACCTGTGGTATATAGTAAGGCTGATTTGGTTTTTGTTTCCAGTTCTTGGCACAGAGCTCATAAACTTGGAATTTCCTGAGTGATACTAGGAGTGTCTTTTGTTATTCCTAGTGAGCCCCTTTAGATAAGATAGGAGTCTATGCTAATAAGTGACTTAGTATACAAGTCTGATAAGTCTAGGCTAATAAGCTCTCCCATCCCAACAGTGTCTGTGTTGTGGACAGAGACAGTGGGCTTGGGTTTTCTCTCCAGAGGCTCTCTCAACCCCATGGCCCCTGTCTGAGCTTCATTAATGATCCATGAGTGTTAGTCTTCCTTTGAGTGGAACCCCTGTGTCAGTAGTCATGTGATTTATCAATAGACAGCAATACAAGGAATGTCATATCTCACACCAGGGAGGACCTGGGCCAAAGACAAAGTTTCTTGTTACAAAATGTCACTAACATGCTGAAAGAATCTGGGCAGTTTGTTTGTTTGTTTTTAAAGGTATCTTTATTGATTTCCGAGAGGGAGGGAGAGGGAGAGAGAGATAGAACCATCTATGATGAGAGAGAATCATTGATCAGCTGCCTTCTCCACGCACTCCACAGGGGACCCGGCCTGCATCCTGGGCATGTGCCCTGACTGTGAATCAAACTCTGATCGTCTGGTTCATAAGTTGATGCTAAACCACACTGAGCCACACTGGCTGGGGTGGGCAGTTCTTATTAGCTCAGTTCGTTAGCTGATTAGCAAAAGGGGCAAATTGGTTAGCTAGTTATTTAGTTAGTTATGTCCCGGGACATTCCTAAGCCAAACTCCTGGCTACCCAAGAAGCTGGAAGAGAATGTGTGTTGTGCACACCTCATTGTCACTATAAAAAATCTCCAAGTATATACACAATGATGACAGAAATCTCTTTTTTTTTTTTTTTCAGGAGTCTCATCTTACACATGGGTCAGGTTTTAGGATGAGGTGCTGGGAAGGAAAGAGGAAGTAACAGAGGCCAGGTGGTCAGGGCCACATTTTGAAGCAAAGCCCCATAATGAATTGAGTCATCTGCTTTTCCTTCTTTAGAGTAGGACAAGGAAGGCGGCGGACACAGGGTTATCAGCACAACTTACTGTTATTTTTACAGACTCGACTCCTGGTTACACATAGCATTCACTTTCTTCCCCAAGTGGATGAGATTGTGGTTCTGGAGAATGGCACCATCTCAGAGAAGGGGTCTTACCGTGCTCTGCTAGCCAAGAAAGGACTGTTTGCTAAGAACCTGAAGACATTTGTAAAGCAGGCGGGTCCTGAAGGAGAAGCCACAGGTATGTAAGGACAACTGGAACGGGGACAGAATTTGGGTATGGCAAGGAATGGAAGTAGTGAACCAATATCTACCTCCTGAACTGCTCAGTATCCAGTGAACTAGATTTGAGTGTGAATTACCCAGAGATCCAAAATCTGTTCTTTCTGTGTTGTGTCTCTGTAAAGAAGCATGGACATAGAAACTCTATGCCTGAGCCAAACTGGAGGTTCATCCTGCTTATCTGGTCATTGGCATGTAATCAAAGGGCACACTTTGGGAGGGTGTGACTGGAATTTGGGGTGATCAGCCCTGTGGAAGAAACACCAGTGGCACAAAGGGCCCACTTTTCATGATGCCTTGCTTTAACTGCTCTAAGTCACACATCCCATATCACCCACCACCAAACCCATTAAAACAACTTCCTGGACAGCTTCATAGGCTAATACTAAGTCCTCGATAAGTGTACTGCTAAATTCTTGATAAGCTCTAACAAAGGAACCTTGACTAATACATCAAAAACCATTGGGTGTTTTGAACCAGAAAAAAACATGGTAGTTGCATAGTATAACTCACAGTATTACCACAGAAATAGCCCCTAATACCACCACCATTGGGGTCACTGGTTAGCTTCCATCAGTAATGGAGTCCTGTTCCCAAGAACCTTGGGTAGTCTTCTGCATAGTGCTGGGTGTTCTCTTCAGGTAGCAGTTATCAGCAGAAGGTCAAGATTGAGAAAGCAAGGCCTGGAGGGCGCTGGGCCATTCCGGAAGTCAGTCAGTAGAGAGAGTTACAGAGCCTGCAAGTGGGAGCATATTTAGGCTTCAAGGTCAAGACAATGATGGTTTAAAACCATCCTGGGGGCACAAGAGCAGGAAAAAGAGAAGACCAGGAAGACTGTACGCCTTGGAGGGACAAGGCAGCAACAAAGAACAGGATGGTGTGGGTGGTGGGGATCCAGAGCCAGCCCAGGAGAGTGAGGCAGGGATACCAGGAACCAGCAGAAAGAAAGGGGTCATTCCATCAACCTTTATGTGCTCCAGGGACTGGCCTGGACAAAACAAAAAGCACATGCCTGGGAGTTAAGGTCCAAGCAAAGGCCAGTGTCTGATGCCCTCTGAGTTACTGTCCTGATAACCAGTCACCCTAATCTGGACAGTTTTACTATGCCAATTAGATACTATTTTTTAAAAATATATTTTATTGATTTTTGTACAGAGAGGAAGGGAGAGGGATAGAGAGTTAGAAACATCGATGAGAGAGAAACATCGACCAGCTGCCTCCTGCACACCTCCTACTGGGGATGTGCCCGCAACCCAGGTACATGCCCTTGACCGGAATCGAACCTGGGACCTTTCAGTCCGCAGGCCGATGCTCTATCCAGTGAGCCAAACCGGTTTGGCTATATACTATTTTTGTTTTTCTATTTGCTTGAATCTGAGTTTTGTATTCTGTTATAAACCGCCATGGGTGGATGACCTCTCTGAAGAATTATATCTTTGATGTACAAAGAATACTTTTCAAAATATCTCATTACGCTTACTAGTCTTACTAAGATTTGGTTATTTTTATTAAATAAATGTTCTTTGGATTGTTGCAAGCTCTTGGCTAATTTTAGAGTTACAAAAAAGTTGATTTGGACAATTTTTTGCCAGTATTCTCATTGATGTTATGGAGGTAACAATTTCTTGAGATCCTTACTATACCATTATGTTGCCAAGGTTATGTTTACATTTTATTTTATTTTCAGGGATTTTTAAATGCTTTAAATTTATAAAAGTTTGTCAAATTATTTGAATTTCAAGAGCATTTTAAAATTTATACATACCTCTTTAGTCAATTCTGGAGATTATAATTCCTGTGTTTGTCTACTATAATCCTTGAAACTTCCTTCCTGCTCCAAAGGAACTTAGAAGCTTCTGGGAATATTTTTCTCCTTTTGACCATTTTACTTTTAGGTGGAATATTAACTCATTTCTTCTTCATCCTGTATTTCTCCATGAGTAAATATACCCAAAAATAGTATTTCTGGAGTAAAAAATTCCAGCCTATGTGTACATCTGGGATTTCTTGCTGAGCCCAGCAATATCAGAAAAGACATCTCTCTCCTTGTTCGTATGGCTGTGAGAGCTCTATGCACTCGCTCTAACCTTTGATGTGTCTCTTAGTCAATGAGGACAGTGGAGAAGAAGATGACTACGGGCTGATGACCAGTGTGGAGGAAGTCCCTCAGGATGTGGCATCCTTTACTATGAACAGAGAAAACAGCCTTCATCGAACACTTAGCCGCAGGTTGGTCATCTACTCAGCTGGCACCCATCATCCCTTCCATATTTCCACTTGATCGTTCTCTTTTTCTATGTGGATAGCGGACACCATGAACACTGCCAACTCTTCCTTTGTTTCCTTGTCTGGGGAAGAGGGTTGGGGTTGTGTGATTCTCCAAGGCCAGCTGCTCTGAAATGAATGTTGATGCAATCAGCGTGACTGACACCTGCTTTTAAGAAGACCCTCGGGATGCAGCTACATGCTCAGGAAAGCTTTCCCTCTTTCAATTTCTCAGATCTAGGTCTAGTAGCAGGCGTCTGAAGACCCTGAAAAACTCCTTGAGAACTCAGAATGTGAATACCCCGAAAGAGGAGAAAGAACTAGTGAAAGGACAAAAATTAATTGAGAAGGAATTCATACAAACTGGAAAGGTGAATACAACAGTAAAAAGTACCATTAGAGGTGATATAAGGCTTGGGATCCCAACATTTTAAAGTTTGATGACTTGAATACATATCTACAAAAGGGCTATGTCTTATGCTTGCTTTGCACGTCTTTAAATTCATCACTGAAATGTTGGCAGATACTCAGAGCTTTCCATTAAATCATATTTTCATGAAGAATGGCGTGGTTCCTGTGATTATCTTCATAGCACATTTCATGAGTGTTTGATTCCATTCTGATATGTGGAGCAAATAACAAAACTGCTTTGAGATGCAATTCTGGGAGCCAGAGAACACTAATCCATCAACCTCAGTATACAATTCAAATTAATAAAAGTTAAAATTAAGTTCTTAAATTTAAGGTCTTAACTTAAATCCAAATTCCTAAAACAAATTCCAGGCTCTGCAGTATAACTCCATTTGTCTCACTCCATTTTTCTATCTTCCCCGTTTAATTGCATGATTATTTACTTTGCATTGTATTTAAGCATTGATTATTAGCCTGGCCCAATGCACAAATGATAAGCACAGACACCAAATTGTGCTACCGGCCATCCATTTTCCCAGGGACTTCACTCCCCCTGTGATTGGTATTCTAGGTAATTCTCCACCAAAAGCCATTAGGAATTCTACTAACATTGGCATGGGGGCTTTGCAGGTCAAGTTCTCCATCTACCTGAAATACCTACAAGCAGTAGGATGGTGTTCAATTTTCTTCATCGTCTTTGCCTATGTAACCAGTTTTGTGGCTTTGATTGGATCCAATCTCTGGCTCAGTGTTTGGACCAGTGACTCTAAAACCTTCAATGCCTCCAACTACCCAGCCTCTCAGAGGGATATGAGAATTGGCGTCTATGGAGCTCTGGGATTAACACAAGGTACGTCTGATGGCTATGATAGCTATTTCTTACATAATTTCTCTGATCAATGTACTTTGCCTGGACTCAGGGAAAAAATTGCCATTATGTCCGAGGCACAAGACTTCAGGGATCCATATGCACAGCACTGACTAAACTGGTTCCATTTCTAGGTATATTTGTGCTCGTAGCAAATATCTTCAGTGTCTATGGTTTCACGCATGCATCAAACATCCTGCACAAGCAACTGCTGAACAATATCCTTCGAGCACCCATGAGTTTTTTTGACACAACACCCATAGGCCGGATTGTGAACAGGTTTGCTGGAGTAAGTATGTCAAGGGCTGTAAGGTTATGCATGTGTATGCTGGGAATCTTTCTGTTCTGACCTGGAAAGACTGCTCATGTCCCCTGGGCAACACTGTGTAGTTCCAGTTCTTTTGTCCATCAGCATGCAAATTATTTATTTGAGTACCTTGTGTGGGGTCTCAAAGATCCTATGAATACAGGACCGAATAAGTAGCTCGCCATCTAGTGAGTAAGACATCCAAGGAAATAAAGGATTGTAATAAAATGTGATAAAACCCAAATAACAACAATGTGTACAATGGTGTTCTGGGAGTATAAAAGAGTGGCAGGGAAAAGAGGTACTAGCTTAGTTTGGGTGATTGAGGGTGGCAAATGTGAGAAAAGGTGAGACTTGAGTTTAGTTATAGAAGTTAGCTAGGGAGATGGTGGGGACAGGGGATAGCTGGGTGGCAGTAGAAGCAGGATGAGAAGAATTAGTCCTTTATTACTGGACATATTATTACTTGCATTCTGATGTGACTTTGGGGAGGGAAATTAGACTCAAGAGTCATCCATTCTGTAGGATTCTCTTAGAAAACTGTTATCCCTTATCCAGTTTGGCACACTTCAGAGATAATATAGACTCAATAATTTGATACTCACTTATTACTAATCCTAGAATCAATACAATCTAAGAAACATAGGCAAGGGAAACCCAAAAATATAATCCATTCCTGTGCATATTAAATCATCCATCCATCCACCCACCCACTCATTTGCTCATTTATACCCAACATGACATAAAGGTGATGTGGTAGTAAGACCCATTCGTTATCTCTAGTTAGAACACTGACCAGGCAGGGGTCATATTCAATCTCCATCTCCTTATCCCTTTGAAGCTCTATGCTTGACAGAAGAAACAACTTTCCATTCCTCATTGGGCTGGCGGTGGGGGGGCAGTGAGGGCGGGGGGGGGGGGGTCGGGTTGCGGGAGGAGGCGGCGGTGAGAGGTGACAGGGCTTCTTCACTGGAGCCTCCAAACAAATGTTTATCGAATGGTTGTTATATGCCAGGCTCTGTTCTAGGTACTCAACAGAATTAGGCCCTGTGTAAAGTTGGAATAATTGAACTGATTTGGGTATAGGGTGGCTTACCTTGTAAGGTTCTATTAACTTAGGGTGGTTACGAATGGTTTCATAAATTTGACAAATGGAAATTTCACTGAAAATAGTAAAAACCTTTGACAAATCTATTAAAGGATGACTACCATATCTGTTTGGAATGATTTAGGAAGATAGAGAAATTACAGAAATAAGATTTGTTGTTAGCTTGAGCAGAACAGTCTATTGCAAATGAATATCATGAAATGATTACATGAAGGAATCACTGAGATCTCAGAATTGAGCAAGTTTCCTGCTGGAATCAGGGAAATCTAAAATGCCATGGGAACTCATTAATACACCATCTCGCCTAATTATGTGTTCCCAGGATATTTCCACCGTGGATGACACACTCCCCGTGTCCTTGCGCAGCTGGATTCTGTGCTTCCTGGGGATCGTGAGCACCCTGTTCATGATCTGCTTGGCCACTCCAGCCTTCATCATCATCATCATTCCTCTCGGCATAATCTATGTGTCTGTTCAGGTAGGTTTGGAAATGGCTGGGTCTCCTTTCCTCTCTACATATAAAAGCCCAGGCTCCTTCCTGAGAACCTGCTCTTTTGTCTATTGCTACTCACTCACTCCTCTCCAGCATCTTCGTCATTTACTCTTATATTGATATCCCCAGGAGCCCACAGGCCACTATCTGAAGCTGAAGTATCAGCACCAAGTAGTGTATGGGTCACAGCAGAGCTCACCTTAACTGCAGTCCCACTAGAAGCTTAACTGGGGCGTATTTATGTTTAGGTCCAAGACCACTGTGAGGTTGGCTCTGTTCCTCACCAACCTCAGATCTTTCCACCATCCTCTTCCCCTGGGCTTCTCTCATCATTCCGCTAGCCAGAGGGGAGGCTGGAGGCTTCTGTCCTATTCAGATGTAGGCTGTGGCCATCAGGGTGAAGAACATTGCTAAGAATCCTGAAACACCAATCATAAAAATATATGCACCCCTATGTTCATAGCAGCACAATAGCCAAGTGTCCATTCATAGGTGAGTGTATAAAAAAGAAGTGGTACATTTTTACCATGGAATACTATGCAGCTGTGAAAAAGAAGGATCCCTTACCCCTTAAGACAGCATGTAGGGCCCTAGCTGGTTTGGCTCAGTGAACAGAGCATCAGCCTGTGGACTGAAGGGTCCCAGGTTTGATTCCAGTCAAGGGCACATGTGCAGGTTGCGGGCTCCATCATCCCCTGTAAGGGGTGTGCAGGAGGCAGCCAATCAATGATTCTCTCTCATCATTGATGTTTCTATCTCTCTTTCCCTTTCCCTTTCTCTCTGAAATCAATAAAAATATATTTTAAAAAAAAAAAAAGACAGCATGTAGGGACCTGGAGAGCATTATGCTAAGCAAAATAAGCCAGTCACAGAAAGACAAACATCACATGATCTCACTCATATGTGGAATCTAATGGACAAAATAAACTGATGAACAAAATAGATCCAGAGACATTAAAACATGCAACAGACTGACAAATTCCAGAGGGAAGTAGATGGGTGAGAAGATATTAACCAAAGAATTTATATGTATATAGTAGAGGCCTGGTGATGAAATTTGTGCACCGGGGCAGGGGGATCCCCTCAGCCCAGCCTTCACCCTCTCCAATCTGGGACCCCTCGGGGGATGTCCGACTCCCTCTCACAATCCGGGACTGCTAGCTCCTAACCGCTCACCTGCCTGCCTGCCTGATCGCTCCTAACCCCTCTGCCTGCTTGTCTGATCGCCCCTAACCACCTCTGCCTGCCTGCCTGATCACCCCTAACTGCTCCCCTACTGGCCTGATCGCCCCTAATTGCCTCTGCCTCACCCTGCACCCGGGACCCAGGATTCCCTCCTCTGGCTGGTCGCAGGCATCTGGGACCCGTGCTTCCCTCCCTCTGGCCAGCCGCAGGTACCCAGCACCGGGCCTACCTGGTCCCCATTCCTCTCTCGTGAGCTCATTTGTGCCTGGCTGGCCCCCATTCCTCTCCCCCCCGTGTTGAGTGTCTGAGCCATTAAGACGTGACGGTGTGAGGACGTGATGACCATTTGCATATTAGCTCTTTATTATATAGGATGCATAACTCAGGGACAGACAATAGTGTAGTGAAGGCCTGGGGAGGGGGTGGGTGCGCAGTGGAGGGAGTCAGTGGGGGAAAAATAGGGGACCTCTGTAATACTTTCAACAGTAAAGATACATTTTTAAAAAGGGTGAAGAATACTGGGTCACGGTCACAAGGGAAGCGGTGCGGCATATGGGACATGATTGTGTGACTAACTCACTCATTACTTTTGGGTCCAGATATTTTATGTGGCCACTTCCCGCCAGCTGAGGCGTTTGGACTCAGTCACCAGGTCCCCACTCTACTCTTTCTTCAGTGAGACTGTGTCGGGTTTGCCTGTCATCCGTGCATTTCAGCACCAGCACCGATTTCTAAAACACAGTGAGGAGTTGATTGACACTAACCAGAAATGTGTCTATTCCTGGATTATCTCCAACAGGTGAGGCTTCCCTGGGTATTTACCCAAATGTGTGCTTTGGGGTTCTGCACGTTGGACATTAGCTGCAGGGGAACAGACATGGCCAATGATATGAAAGTCACTCTCGCCAAGCACGCCTAGTACGTAAGTAGAGACGAAAGCATGAGCTTCGCAGTCAGAGGCTGGGTCCCTGTGCCTGCTCTGCCATTTACCAGGCTAGGTGAATTGCCTCCACCTCTCTAAGGGAAGCCTCATTTTTTTTTTTCCACAATGGCTGGAACACAGCCTCTATCACAGGCGTTGGTGCAAGTCAAATGACCTCTGTGAGCATTGTGTGACCCAGGTGCTACACAAGTGTCGGGTGACCTGGGCGTTCTCTGTTTGCTTCCCTGGGAGTGAATGTGAGATTCTCCACAGGCAGGGCAACTCTCTGTAGGGTGGTGGAAAAAGAAGAAGCTGGAGAGAGGAGAGCTGGGAATTTTCAGGGAAAGCCAATGAAAAGTTCACATCCTGTGGGGTGAATTCCCGAGAAAGGTGAGCATTCTTCACTTCTCCGGCATCACTGGACCCTGGCAAAAAGTGGTAGGTCCTTGAAGGAAGATGGTTTTGTAGAGGAAGTGAAAATTCTCGAGTGCCTTCCACATTGTCTTGAGATATGAAGGGCAGGCTCGTGACCTCAGTATTAGTTGGAACATGGAGAGGTCAGGAATCTGATTGTAAAGATATTTGATTTCTTAGGTACGTTTCAAGAAGGAAACAGGCATATAGATCATTCCTATTGTATGCTCATTGTAAATATGCATCATATTTATTTGTACAATGCTAGGTTTACTGGTTCAAATTTCTTTAAATACGTTTTATTTGAAAAAGTCAATTTTTTAGAAAATATATTTTTATTGATTTCAGAGAGGACAGGAGAAGGAGAGAAAGAGAGAGAGAGAGAGAGAGAGAGAGAGAGAGAGAGAGAGAGAGAGAGAGAGATGATAAGAGAGGATTGTTGATCAGCTGCCTCCTGCATGCCCCCACTGGGGATCAGGCCCGCAGCCCAGGCATGCACCCTGACCGGGAATCAAAATGTGACCCCCTGGTTCACAGGTCAACGCTCAGCTACTGAGCCATGCCAGCTGGGCAGAAAAGTCAATTTTTATAAATTATGTCTATCTCTGTCCTATTCGGTTCTCTGCAGTTGATCATTCTATGACCAAGTCGCACCTAACCTCTCCCCACCCCACCCCCATCTTCTTCTCTACCTTTTCAAATCAGGAAATCAGACAGGATACATTGAGCCCTGCTGTGATGCTACATGTGGATTATCTCTGACATTATTTTCCTTGCCTAATCAGAAGAAATCACTTGAAACATTTGTTAAAAATGCAGGTTCCCGACCCCCATTCTAAGCCCCTTGAGTCAGAATTTCTTGGGGAAGTGTCCAAACATTTTTTTTGCATGGTTTTGTATATTTTTAACAATTGCCCCAGATGATTCTTAGGATTTGGCAAGTTTGGGAGACATTGAACCATAGGATTCCCTTAGTTTAGGAAACTCCTCTAGTATCTTTAAAATGCAACTTATTTTCTAAAATCCAACTTGAAAGACTTCAGGAACACCTGGTATAGTCAAGTCAAAGCACCTGCTAAGAACACCATTCTACCAACTTGAGCCCCCTGAGAATGTTCTAGAAACATCTATGCTGCTAGGTAAGGTAAGAAAGTGGATACCTCTCGGTAACACCCCTCTCTGGTTCTATTGTCCCACAGGTGGCTTGCAGTTCGTCTGGAGCTGGTTGGAAACCTGATTGTCTTCTTTTCATCCCTGATGATAGTTATTTTCAAAATTAACCTAAGCGGGGAAGTTGTGGGCTTTGTTCTGTCCAATGCACTCAATGTGAGTCTGAAGGTTGGGAGTTTGGTTAAATTAGTGCATTTATTCTTAAGTTGTGTCTAGAGTATGCCATGAGGTCCATGCTCTGATTCTTTTCTAGATCCAGAGGCACTGGGGAGACTGAGGTTCAAACCCTGGCTCCGTCTCTTACTAACTGTGTCACCCATGGACATGCTCTTCACGCTTTCTAAATAGGTTTCAGTGTCCTCTGAACATAAATGTTGTTGCCCTTGGGAGTTAAGAAAGCAATTTCATATGATTCAACCGAATAGTTCCTTGTCTCTTTGCTTCTTTGCTTGATTCTAGTCGAAAGAGAGAGTAACTGAGTTTCTTTTCCATAATATAGCGGTAACCAGGAAGTCTTTTGAACAAATAACTTCTATGATTGTTTTTCTTAGATTACAGAATAATTGAAGGTAATTCTAATAAAGAACAGAGAGCCCAATAAAACTATCTATTGCATCCCCAGTGTGGCTAGGGGATAAATGTTAAGATATTATTTCCTAGCACCTAAGACAGTGGTTGGCACTACAGTAAATATTCAATAAGTGAGACTCATTTAATGAGTCATTGGGCCATCTTCCATGGTATCTCTTTGAACTAATATACCAGAGGTTTTCATAGCTACCAGCACACTCTACATGGTCCTGTCTTCAGTAGAAGATAATGAGGCCCAAGGTGGTCACAGCGGGCACCCAAAAGGACCCAGTTGTTCACCAGAATGCCACTCGGTTTGTGCCACTGCTTCTTCCTCCACCCATTTCTAAGCTTAATAACCCAGGAGAGATGGGGCAAGGAATTGGAGAATTTTTGTACTGAACCAAAGCATAAGCATTCAATATCAAAAGTTTCATGTGGTTCAGCCTACACAAAGCGGTTACTCTCAGTCCCCATGACCCCGTGCTCTCCTCTCTAACCACCATTCACTCAATGGAAACACCCAGGTTTGAGTCTTTGCCTGAATGAAGCCTGCTTATGAGTAATCTGCAGATTCCCCAGCCTCTAGACTGGCCTGGATCATGACAGCCCTCTTACCGGTGGTTGGATACATCTTTGTAATGGCAGGGAGGCGCCTGGAGTTTACTCTGGTAAAGGAGGATGAGGATCCATGTGGATGTCCCACCTTGAGGGATGTGTTCTCAATGGAGCTGTTGTTAACTGAGAGCAGAGAGAAGCAGCAGCTTTTTGGAAGGCCTTTTCCTACCTTGTGTCTTTTCTTTCTTTTTTTTTTTTAAATATATTTTATTGATTTTTTACAGAGAGGAAGAGGGATAGAGAGTTAGAAACATCGATGAGAGAGAAACATCGATCAGCTGCCTCCTGCACACTCCCCACTGGGGATGTGCCCGCAACGAAGGTACATGCCCTCGACCGGAATTGAACCCGGGACCCTTGAGTCCGCAGGCCAAGGCTCTATCCACTGAGCCAAACCGGTTAGGGCTCTTTTTTTTTTTTTTTTTTTTAGCATGTTTTTATTGATTTCAGAGAGGAAGAGAGAGGGAGAGAGAGATAGAAACATCAATGATGAGAGAGAATTATCGATTGGCTGCCTCCTGCACGCCCCTCACTGGGGTTCGAGCCCGCAACCTGAACATGTGTCCTGACTGGGAATCAAACCGTGACTTCCTGATTCATAAGTCAACTCTCAACCACTGAGCCACGCTGATTGGGCCCTTGTTTCTTTTCTTATGCTTCCCCTTTTGCAGAAGGCCCACCACCCTTCCCACAAAGAACAGTAGGCTTACAGACAAGAGGGCCAAGTGTTGCCCTAACTGGTTTGGCTCAGTGGATAGAGCAACAGCCTGCGGACTGAAAGGTCCCAGGTTCAATTCCAGTCAAGGGCATGTACCTTGGTTGCGGGCATATCCCTAGTAGGGGGTGTGCAGGAGGCAGCTGATCGATGTTTCTCTCTCATCGATGTTTCTAACTCTCTATCCCTCTCCCTTCCTCTCTGTAAAAAATCAATAAAATATATTTTTTAAAAAAAGAGGGCCAAGGGTTGGTCCCACTCCACCAAAGCCAGCCCCAGTTGTAGCCCAAAGTCAGCCCAGACACCCTTTCGTGTGAGCACCACACAGTTGTCTTCCAGCCATTTGATACACTGGTCTCCATTCCTCCCCAAAGAGGTGAACATTGGTACTTTCACGCCCCTTGCTCCCTCGTAGAGCTCGGCATAATGCTGGGTGCAAAGTAGGCACTGGATTGACGTTGTGGTTTGATGAGTTACGTTGGTTTCTGAGCCTGACATGATCTTTGGTCTTCTGGTTTTTCTGTAGATCACACAAACCTTAAACTGGCTAGTGAGGATGACGTCAGAAGTCGAGACCAACATTGTGGCTGTTGAGCGAATAAATGAGTACATAAATGTGGAAAATGAGGTAAGAGGGCATGAGAGGAAGGCAAAGAAAAAGGTGTGGGTCCCTTGAGAGAGCATCTTCTCCTGGTCTAGAAGATGTGGTGTCTATAAAGGTCCTCCTAAAAGTTTCCCCTGTTCTAACTCAAATGGCCCAATTTCCTGAAACTTAGAATAGGAAATGGTTTGGGGGAAGTCAGGTCTTGGAAGGCACCACGTTGAATGGTGGCTTCACTCTGGAGGCCCACCCAGCAAACCTGTGGGATAGGGTTTCTTTGATTGAATACGGTAGGAACCTCTGGAAGTCCCAGTCTAGTTCAGTCTATTGAATGCAGATGCCCCCGGGTGGCTAGGACACGGCTACCTTTCTACTGCTCTGCGACTTGAGTCCCACGGGCGCTGTTCAGCGAGCTGGCTCCATGTAAGGCGCTTCTCCTCCTGTCTCCCCGCCAGGCACCCTGGGTGACTGAGAAGAGGCCCCCAGCAGGTTGGCCGAGCAAAGGGGAGATTCAGTTTAACAACTACCAAGTACGGTACCGGCCTGAGCTGGATCTGGTGCTGAAAGGGATCACTTGTGACATCAGGAGCCAGGAGAAGGTAGGTGGGGCTGAAGAAAGGCCTAGATGTGAGTCCTTGTGATGCAAGGACTGTTGGACACAGAGGTGGTGACCGCCCTGGCTCTGGGCTGTCATCATTTGGTGGAGTGACAGGATGGGGCACTTTCTCCTGGGGAAATGTAAGGACACAGTGCCACCACCAGAGGGCAGGATATCCACATGGGATCAATTAGACTTACTGGGCTATAAGGGCTTTCTGCTCAGTCCTGCCCTGAGGAGGGCTCATTTCCTGAAAGGGCTGGGGCAGGCAGAGGAGGTCAGGAAACACGTGGCTTGGGGGAAGAACTGGTAAGAACCACAGTGTGGAGGTTCTCCCTGTAGAGATAACAGCCTAGTTCTCCTTCCGGTTGGCAAAGTCCTGCACCCTTGTTGGGTGTCCTTGTTCCCTGAGGACTTGGGGTCTGATGTAGGGCCAGAAAATACCTGGGGACGAATGCTGAGGTCCAGGTCAGGGCCTGGTTCTCAGCTGATGGCAGGCCCAGTCCTTCCAATAGGAATTGTAGTACAGCTGCTGATGTGTCCATTTCCAACAATCACTGTGGTTCTCAGCAAGCACGTTTAGGAGGTGGGATGGAACAGCCCTCTTCTCCTCCTCTCTCCACCCGCCCCAGGCTAAATGTTTATCCACCATGAATTATATGGTGAACTAACTGCAAAGGATCTCTTTACAGATTGGTGTGGTGGGCAGGACCGGAGCTGGGAAGTCGTCCCTGACAAACAGCCTCTTCAGAATCCTAGAGGCTTCCGGTGGCCAGATCATCATTGATGGGGTAGATATTGCTTCCATTGGGCTCCACGACCTCAGAGAGAAACTGACCATCATCCCCCAGGTGAGCTCTAGAACTTACTCTGCCCCACTTGGGGGGGCGGGGGGAACAGGTACAGGAAACGTGTGCTTCAGAGAGGGAGGGAGGGAAGAGAGAGAGACACATCAACAATGAGAGAGAATCATTGATTGGCTACCTCCTGCACGCCCCCTGCTGGAGATCCAGCCCACAACCTGGGCATGTGCCCTGGTCTGGAATTGAACCGTGACCTTCTGGTTCATAGGACGACAGTCAACCACTGAGCCACACGACCTGGCTGTGCATCTTCTTCTTGATGTAGATTCAATTAGCAGTGCCATTTCTGCAGTCTACCCGGGGCCTCTGAGCTAGTTCCCGAAGACACACTGTTTCCAGAACTTAACAAAAATAAGTTCTGCGTGTTTTTGCTAATATGCTTGTGTGGCTGCCGGTATCCAGTCAGTAGGTGGCAGCAACACAACAGGAGTCAAAGAAAGCAGATGATTATTTAGCTTTTCTATAGCCCATCACGGTTTGCAAGACCCTTTGCAATCAGCATTAGCAGTTTTGCCACTGAAGCTTGAAACCATTAAGCTTTATATTCCCCATTTGATATGGTTAGCAGACAGGGGAGGGAGTTTGCTGCAGATTTCTGTCAGCAAGCCCACACTCGGTGCATCAGCAAGAAACGCTTCCCGCGGGCTTCCTCTCTGGACCCCACCAGAAAGGACTGCCCTGGGGGCCTCTGGGTGGTGTGTGGGTCCTCATTAGAGCTGGGTCCTCTGCTCACTCAGCCAGGCTTCGGGGGTGGGTTTGGTGTGTCTGGTGTTTGCTCAGTTTCATGCACTCTCTCCTCCAGCCTCTCCAAAGGCCTCATAAATTCTTCCCCCGGGACTGTGCCGCCCTCGATCCCTCCCCCTCCATACCATGAGTCTTTATTTGGGAGTGTGGGAGGTTCTTTTTACTTTTTAAAGAGGTGCTGAGGCAATTTTGGAAATTCATAAGTGCATCTCAGAATGAAAAGCAAAACAACAAAAAACAAACGAAGGATTCCTCCTACTCCTGTGCTTAGCTCCCCGCTGGCAGCCACTCTCAACCTTCAGTGGGAAACCTTACAAAAGCCTGGCCACGAACCAGCTTTCCCTCCCAGGCCCGTCCTATCCTATCCGCTTTCTCCTGGCCACAAGGACGGCTAGTCCTTTCCTGTCATTTGCCCCAGCAGCCCCTTCATCCCTTGTCTTGCAGGATCCCGTCCTGTTCTCTGGAAGCCTGAGGGTGAATCTAGACCCTTTCAACAGCTACTCAGATGAGGAGGTTTGGAAGGCCCTGGAGCTGGTTCACCTCAAATCCTTTGTGGCCAACCTGCAACTTGGCCTGTCCCACGAGCTGACAGAGGCTGGTGACAACCTAAGGTAATGTTTCCTAACCCACTTCCCGCAGGCACCGAGAGGAGTCAGGGGAAGGACTCCGTTGTTCCTTGAGCCAGAGGTGCCTGGCATCCTGGATGGGCACTCTCCAGGTCTAGTTCCGAATGCTTAAAGCGAACCGGCTGTGAAAATGACGTGAGAGAATAGGTGTGGAACTCGTGAAAACCTTGGTTAGAATGTGTGCCCTCACGAGACATTTCACAAAGTGAGCCTACAGGTCCCCGTGGGGGAGGGTTTGCTCTCAGCTGCTCACTGCAATCAGGATGGAAACGGTCCTGACGCCTGGTCCAACCCAGGAAGTCTGATTTCATGGTATGAGGTGTAGACTGGACGTGGGAGTTCCAAAGGCTCCCCGGGGGTTGCTGTGGGCCTCCCAGTTTGAGCAGCACTGGTCGAAAGGCATGCGGATGACGGGGACTGGTATCCGCAGAGTTTGGGGGGCACCTGAAACACCTTAAACCAGCAGAGAGACTCCCAGCTTCCCCGTTCTCCTCACCTCTCCAGAGATTGTCTGTATATGTTGACACTTCATACTTCTGGCCTTCACTATGTCTTTAAGAAGCTGTCCTGGCATTTTCCCTGTGAAAGTTGGGTCCCCCCCCCCCCCCACACACACACACACACTGAAGGCCAGCCCTCAGCCACAGCCCGCTGCTCAGAGGTACGCCTTGCTGCAGTCCCAGGTGCCTTCAGAATGCTGGGATGGGCATGGACCATTAACAGGTGTAGCTCATAAGAGAAGGGGTGCTCAGTAACTCGATTAGTGCATCAGCAACTCTGGCTTCACCTGTGAACTTGTTAGAAAAGCAGGCTGTTGACCTGAGTCTGCATTTTAGTAAGATCCCCAGCTGATTTTTTGTGTATATTACAGTTTGAGAAACAATGACTAGAGCATTGATTTTTAACACGTTTTATTGAATTTTAGAGAGAGAAGATGGGAGAGGGAGAGAGAGAAACATCAATGTGAGAAGCATCAATCGGCTGCCTCCTGCACGCCCCCTACTGGGGATAGAGCCTGCAACCTGGGCACGTGCCCTGACTGGCAATTCAACCAGTAACCTTTCGGTACACGGGATGATGCCCAAGCAATCGAGCCACACTGGCCAGGGCAAGGGCATTAATTCTTTTTGTTGTTAATCCTCACCTGAGGATATTTTTCCATTGATTTTTTTTTTTTTTTTGAGAGAGAGAGAGAGAGAGAGAGAGAGAGAGAGAGAGAGAGAAAGGGAGGAGGAGAGACAGAGAGCATCGATGTGAGAGAGACATGTCGATTGGTTGCCTCCCTCCTGTGCCCAGACCCGGGCTGGGGATCCAGCCTGCAACTGTGGCACATGCCCTTGGCCAGAATCAAACCCAGGACCTTTCAGTCCACAGGCTGATGGTCTGTCCATGGAACCAAACTGGCTAGGCCCGGGCAAGAGCATTGATTCTTAACCATGATGCAGACTAGAATCACTTAGTAATCTTTAAAAAAATAAAAAGCCCTAACTGGTTTGGTTCAGTGGATAGAGTGTCAGCCCTTGGACTTAAGAGTCCTGGGTTCGATTCCGATCTAGGGCATGTACCTTGGTTGCAGGCTAGATCCCCAGTAGGGAGCTTGCAGATGGCAGCTGATCGATGTTTCTCTCTCATTGACGTTTCTAACTCTCTATCCTTCTCCCTTCCTCTCTGTAAAAATCAATAAAAAATATACTAAAAAAAAATCTCAGTGCCTAGACTGCAGCCCAGACCAGCTGAATCAGGGGCCCAGGTGACACTTGTAAGCTTTGATGTAGAAGGCATCGTGTTTGCTTGTCCTCAGCAACAGAGAGAGGCACTAGCAGGATTTAAGTGGTCCTTTAGGCCTGTGAAATAAGCCATTCAAACATTCAGTCAGCAAATATACACTGAGCAGCTAGTACATGCAAGCACTGCAGACACAGAGGAAGATGACACAGACACACCCCTGGCCTCCTAGTGCTTAGAGCTTCATGGAGAAGACAGGCCTGTCTGCGTAAAGGCCAGGCAGTGAATGCTGCAGACACTGCAGACACGTGGGGCCATGTGGGACCCTCTGGCAGGGTGGGGAGGGGTGAGCTTGATACTTTCGGTTTTTAAGAACCATCCTTCTCTGTCCAGGCTGGGGGACACTTAAATAACATTCCCAGTGCCTAGATTTCAGACCTGGTTGGGAGGTGTTGAAACTAAATTCCTTTGATGAGTGATCAGAGATCGGAGATCCATCAGCTTGGAGAGAGAGACCTGCGGAGCCAAAGTGGTGCCTGGGCCTGTGACGGGAAGCCCAGCTGTACCAGGCGGGGGTTTGGTACAAGTTAAGGAAATTGCAGTTGCCTCCGTTTTTACAGAAAAAAACTGAAAGTTCATCTTGGGTGACTTCTCATCTCCTGCAGGAAATTTTCTCCGAGAATTGCAGAGCTTTTAGTCTAGCCACCCTCTGCTTAATATGCTCCCTAATGGCCACAGCAGGAAAGAGCAATTAGCGAACTACTGAATATTTCCTCCACACCATTTCCCAAAGCTGCTTTATGCGACTAAGAGGTCCAGTCTTCATTACCGGCTCTTCGCAAATTAAAGCGATTTGCATTTTACAAGCATATTCGAGTTCCACATACATTGCATCTCACACCAAGACATCATGTTCATTAGAGAGTTACGTCTCTAATCAAGGCAGAGGGCCTTGAACAAATAATTAGCTTTGAGACTAGAATTACACATTAAAATAACGAATGGATTTGCTAAGGCCACTGAGAAATGCCACTGGGGCATTCTGGCGAGATGTCACCTTATCTACTAGTAAATGGCGTCAGGTCCAACACTGCTGAAATGAACTTGGGGCATCCACCTCTTTTTTTGGAATTGTTGTTGGTGTACTGGGACATCCCGATAGCCAAATGCAAAGCACTATTCCTGGGCTAGTATTTCCCAAACTTGTCAAACATGGAATCACCTGGGGTGCTTATTAAAAATACACGTTCCCTGGCTCCTCCCCATTCTGATTGAGAGGTGTGGGGCCCACAAACGTGACATTTTAATTAAGTACGTGTGGTGGGCCTTCTAATTGATTGGCGAAGTTTGGCTGAGGCATCCTGGGGGGAGTTAGGAGTGTGGCTTTGCAAAGTCTGATCGGCCCCCACATCCCTTCCCAGGTTAGTCCTTGGTCCTTGGGCTAATGCTTGATTTCTACCATTGGCTGCAGCATTGGGCAGAAGCAGCTACTGTGCCTGGCCCGGGCTCTGCTTCGGAAATCCAAGATTCTGATCATGGATGAGGCCACCGCTGCAGTAGATCTAGAGACAGATCAGCTCATCCAGATAACCATCCGAAAGGAGTTCTCCCACTGCACGGCCATCACCATCGCCCACAGGCTGCACACCATCATGGACAGCGACAAGTGAGTGTGTGTGGGGGGGAAGGCGAGGGCAGAGTTTGATAGACCCGGCTTAACCCTTTGTCAACAGTAATAGCATCAGCCCAGCTGGTGTGGCGCAGTGGTTGAGCATTGACCTAGGAACCAGGAGGTCACACTTCGATTCCCCGTCAGGGCACATACTCGGGTTGCTGGCTCAATCCCCTGTGTGGGTCCTGCTGGAGGCAGCCAATCAATGATACTCTCCCATCATTGATGTTTCTATGTCTCTCTCCCTTCCTCTGTAAAATCAATAAAAAAAGAAAATAAATAAAATATATATATATATATATATATATATATATATATATATATATTTAAAGTAATAACATCAGCCGTGAGATTTCTTACAGCAGAAGGATTAACTACCATCATTTTATTGATGAAGAAACAGAGGCTGAGAGATTTCAAGTAATTTGCCCAAAATTATACATCAAGCTAATGAAAAAGCCAACAGGGTTAAGGAAAGTGCCTTGAGGAAAAATGGAAAACTGTGTACAACCATAACCGAGTACAGGGAGGTGGAGGTTCAGGCCATGAGTGGCAGACACTGACCACAGACCTTCCGACTGAAGGTCTCAGTGGCTACCCCTGTAAACAGCTTTCTGTTCCTCTGACGGCGACATTCAAAACGGGATAATGTCAGTCCTCTTAGACAGTGGGCAGGACAGGCTTCCTTAAACAGTGTGTGTCTTTTTTTAAAAAAAGCGGATGTACATGGACTCAGACTAAGCATATCCTTCCAGTTCAGCATACGTATGGAATTCATCCGTGTTGCTGCAGATGCTGGGGTCCCTTCGCCCACTCTGCTTTGTAGCCTGGTCTGAATGATTTTACCGTGACTTAGTGCTGGTTGTTCTTACCAACGCCAAGATTTGAGATGCTGCTTCCTAAGGCTTGCCTTTCCTTCTTTGTTTCAGGGTAATGGTCCTAGACAACGGGAAGATTGTCGAGTTTGGCAGCCCTGAAGAGCTGCTGGCAAAACCTGGCCCCTTTTATTTTATGGCCAAAGAAGCTGGCATTGAGAATGCGAACAGCACCGCCCTCTGACAGCAGGTCCCGTGGCTTAGAGAAGGACTAGAAGGATCATTCCTTATTTAATTTTATTTTGGGGAACTGTACCACACATTGAGGAGTGTGTATAAAATGTACATTTTAAAGAAGGATCAGAAGTGCATACCCGTGTCCCCACTCCCCAGGTTAAGGAAATGAGTATCACCAGCTACATCAGAATCCTCCGATGGCCCCTTTGCTAGCCTGCTGCCTACCCCAGAGATACCACTATCCTGAATTTCATAATAATTATCCCCTCGTTTTCCATTTTAGTTTTATCACTTTGTATGTATCTTTAAACAATGTGTATGTACCTTTTAAGAAACATATACAACTTCTAAGAAACGTATGCAAATGGCCTGACTCATACCGCCTGCATTCTTCTATGACTTTTCTTCAATATCACTTTTGAGAGTTAGCCACATTGATGCCCATCGTGGGGTTAGTTTGCTCTCACTGCCACAGTTTATCCATTTTAATGTTCGTCAGCAGTAGGGTTATTTCTAGGGTGGTGGTTGTTGTTTTTTTCCCGTGATGAATGCTACTATTATAAACATTCTGATATATAATTCCTGACATATATGTGCAAGACTCTTTAGGGTATAATGTAGGAATGGGGAGCATACACGTTTACATGCATATATTAGGTAACTAGAGGCCCAGTGCACAAAATTTGTTAAGGGGGGGTGGTCCCTTCAGCCCAGTCTGCACCCTGTCTAATCCGGGACCCCTCAGGGGATGTCCGACTGCTGGTTTAGGAAATAAATTGGCAGTCAGACATTCCTCTCACAATCCGGGACCACTGGCTCCTAACTGCTCATCTGCCTGCCTGCCTGCCTGATTGCCCCTAACTGCCTCCCCTGCCAGCCTGATCACCCCTAACCATCTCTGCCTGCTGGCCTGATTGCCCCCAACTGCCCCCCCCCCCACTGGCCCGGCCACCCTCAACTGCCCCCTGTGCCGGCCTGGTTGCCCCCAACCACCTCCCCCCCCCCCCGCCAGCCTGGTCACCCCCAACTGCCCCCCTCTGCTGGCCTGATCACCCTCAACTGCCCCCCCCATCAGCCTGGTAGCCCCCAACTATCCCCCCCCACCGACCTGGTCATCCCCAATTGCCCCCTTTGCTGGCCTGGTTGCCCCCAACTGGCCCCCCTGCCAGCTTGGTCACCCCACACAGCCTGCTGTTCAGTCATTTGGTCACCCCTCACTAACCCCCCTGCCATCCTGGTTGCCCCATGCAGCCTGCTGTTCAGTCGTTTGCGTGTCCCTCACTAACCCCCCTGCCGGCCTTGTTGCCCCACGCAGCCTTCCAGCCTGCTATTCGGCCGTTACTGTTACTGTGACGGCGTCCTGGACAATTTGCATATTCCTCTATTATTAGTATAGATGCCAAACTGGCAATGCCAATTTAAAACCTTTTGTCAACCTGATGAGAATGAATTGGTACCTCGGTGAGGTTTTAATTCATATTTCCCTGGTTAATACTGAGGTGTCGGTGTGAGGTCTCTGCTGGTTCTCATCCATGGCGCTTTATTTCCTTGTGTGCCTTGTGAATTTTTACAATGAGCTGCTCACTCTCTCGCATTTTATCTGTGGACATCCTCTGAGGCCTGAGCTGTCACCTGGGAGCATTTCCCAGAACTTCTCCGAATGAAATTCTCCCCTGAGGAGCCTCGAACTCTGCCGTCTGTGTGACTTCAGATCACCATCCCGTGCAGGAGCCAGCTGTGGTTCACACGTTTCCAAGGGCAGCTCCTCCCCTGGACCTTCATGGTGGGGTTTATTCCCATCACGCTTACTTTTCCCTTTTCCAATCACGGCAGCCACCAGGCCTTCCCAGTTTTATTTCTCTATCCCCATCACTTCCATCATCATTCAGGTTCTCTTTGCATCTAACCTGCACTGATGGCATAGGTATCCCTACTTCCTGTATTGTTTTTCTCAAACATAATCCACCCATGGCTACCAGTGGTCCAACATGCAAAACTGACCCCTTCATTCAACGGCAATCCAGAGTAAAATTAAAATTCCTTATTATGCTACAATGAAGCTCCCTAACATCTGATCCAATCTCATTTCTTCTAACTCTCATTTCTCACATTAAGCTCCAGCAACATTAAAATGGCTTTATTTTCACACACACACACACACACACACACACACACACACACACACACACCTTTAACAAAACTTATTTCAGAGAGGAAGGGAGAGGGAGAGATAGAAACACCAATCCTGAGAGAGAATCATTGACTGGCTGCCACCTGCACGCACCATACTGGGGTTCAAGCCCACAACCCGGGCCCTGGCTGGGAATCAAACCATGACCCTCCTGGTCCATAGGTTGATGCTCAACCACTGAGCCACGCTGGCAGGGCCACACACTCATCTTTTGATTCTAGCTTTCTGGTTATCTATCCCTTCTGCTTGGAATACCCTGGTTACCTTTAATTAAGACTCAACTAAGAGGTCATCTTCTCCAAAGAGCCTTCCCTGACTCCCTCCTCTTACACCTCCAAGCCAGCGTCAGTGCTGTAGCAGATTTTCAATCTTTACGGCAGTTCAGCATCTGAACCTCAGTTCTATGCTTGGGAACTTCCCCAACTAAAGATTCTTGGTGGGAGATCAGGGTGCAACCATGTGACTAGGTTCCATTAGTCAGATATGCCAGTGCCAAATTTTGATTCAGATGCTGGTGACACGAGGCAGGGAAATCTCTTCTGGGAAAGATGACGGCAGTTGTGACAGTCCGAGCTGTTGTCCAGCGGTGGCAGGTGGTGGTTCCAGCAGCAGGGCCCAGTGATACTGTAGTGGATGCTGAGCATCACAGCTGGATGTCTTACTCTCCCAGAATCAGTGAGCTACCTGCAATCATTTGAAAACATCCTTTCTGCTTAAGTTCCCCAGCTAACTTGCTATTACTGTATTTGTTACTTTGTCTGATAATTCTCTGCTTGGGTCTCCCTCACTAAGCTGTGAGCCTCTTTGTGGAGTGGAGAGCGGCTACAGTGTTTGGACGGGTTCCTGCCTTGGACTCATGAGAGGGCACAGTCCTCTCATTGCCACGTGCAAGTTCCAGCTTGGAAGGGAAAGCCCTCCCAGCACAATTAGAGTCAACAGCTATAGTTGTAAGCTTGAACCTATGGTCCAAACACGTGGCCCCACGTGCCTGAGTGAGGTGGGCTTGATAGAGTTCAGGTGCATGTAATTGAGTAGGATTGAAACCCACAAGAATGTTGTAAACATCTTGCTCAAGCCCTTACTTCGCCTCATGGAATCTGCTATAAAATAAAGACACGGCTTGTAGTCTGTGGCGCTGTCGCTAGTTCTCCATCAGAGAGGACAGCGTCCCACCCAGTCCCAGCTTTCATTCTCTTGCCTGTCTTTTCTCAATCCTTCACCACCCCCTCTCAAGGTCACCGAACCTGGCTGCACCGCACATAAGGCGCCCTGGGGCCGAGTATGCCATGGCCGTGCGGGCTCGCCACACTCTTGAAAGTAGGAATATTTTCTTACTCGTTTTTTCTACCTTCAGTGGCTTGAATATAGCAAGTACACACATATTTTTGAATGTTCAAAAAGGTCTTTTTAAAATTCAGTGGGAAAAATGTATGCCAAAAATGCAGCAATAGAGTTGAACAAAATAAAGTAGCTTCACAGTGACACATTGGTACAAACAGGGAGAATAAATGTGCCAATCAGACCTCAATTTTTTTTTTTTTTTGCAGGTTAGATTCATATAAGTGCCTTTTGAACTACCCTCTGCAGAAATTTGCTTCTTGTAGGTAATAGGAGAATACATTTAATCACAAATGCACTGTATTTATGTAAAATTAGCAAACAATATTGTACAAACACCGACATTTAAATCTCTAAACTTCTGCAATTTAGATTTAGTTAGCAAAGACCACATTCAACTATAAACATGAATTTAGTCTTCTACATAGATTAGGCACTAAACTGCTTTTTAAAAGCCTTCATACTATTTGAAGGTACAAGTAAACGATTGTAAAAACGCATAAATTCATTAGAAGCACTCCATTTTCGTAGGATTCCTTTTTAACTTTATATGCAAGTAATTGGTTATGCTGTAGAATTTAACTGTTACAGTGTGAAAAGCAACTAATTAGAAAAATAGAAAAAAAATTTTAATGAGTACATGTAAGGCAGTGTTTCTTTTAGGTAAAATAAGCATAAACATAAGAGTTGCAGGAAGAAAAGAAAAATGACATAAGACTAGTTTGGTTCTCACTGAATTTTAAAAATGGACTAATACAGAGCCCCTTTCTCAACTCTAACAAGGCCTTGGTCACCCTATTGGTTGGACAGTCACCTTGGTCCTTGCCATCACAGCCACTGGCTATTCCGAGCGCCCACTGGGAAGGACGGGCTCTGTGGCAGCAGCAGCCTTTGGGACATCTACCTGCTGCTTACGCCCATAGCTACTTGTTCTCTCTGGGCAACAGCTTTGTTGGTATCTCTGTAGAGACAGTCAAATGCACTGGTTGTACCTCTGGACACAGACGTCTCTCCCTGTACGTGGTGCTAACACCCTCGCCTGCTAGCTGCTTTGTTAGTTAGCCCCACGTGCTGCTAACTTGTGATCTGGTTTGCCAGGGTTTGCATCGTAAAGATACCTCCTAGTCCTATAAATGTTTGCCTGATACATTTATTAGTTAACCAATTACACATTTATTTTTATTTACATTTATCTTAAACCAATTATACTTTGGCAGGCTTTTCATTTTTCTTTGTCAAAAGGTTTAAGTTTTCTGCATGTTTGACCTTAGTGTTAATGGTTGACCAGCATCTTTATGTTTTAGCTGGACCTGGAGTAGGGATATGGCTCAATGGCCAAATCTACTGTTTTTGTCAATAAAGTTTTGGGAACACAGTCATGCTCACTTGTTTCTGTGTTATCTATGCCTGCCTTAGTGTTACAGTGGCAGAGTTGAGGAGTGGCGACAGACTGAATGGCCTGCAAAGTCTAAAATATGTACCATATCAAAGTCTAAAATATGTATATGTATATATTCTAGTGGCCCAGTGCATGAATTTGTGCACATTGAAAGGGAATTAATTAGGAGAAATATTTTAATATCACTATTTTCCCTTTCTCTATAAGTATCAGATATTAAAGAAAATTAGAAAAATGTATATGAAAGTAATATATAAATTTATTAATAAATAAACAATAACATGATATAACAAACACATGATATAAAAACAAAAACATATAAAAACATTGATACAATGACTGATAAATTGATTAAACTTATTCTAATATCTCCCTGTATACCACATTAAGAGTAAAAACATTTTCAGAGTGCTTGACTAATTTCCCTTGGGATGGGGCTCCCTCC